GTTCAAGCCACGACCACAAGCGCTGCGCGGTGCGCGCCCCGCTGGCGAAGTCATTGCATGGCGCCGACGGTTTTCCTCGGGGCGGAAGGCCAGTCGGCTTTCTGGCGGCGCGGCTGAGTTTCGCCATGTCGACGGGGGCCCGAGAAGAGCATGCTGATGCGCCCGGGGTTTGCAATTTCACTCGCGCCGTTGAGTGTCGAGCGCTTTCGAGACATAGTCAGGCTCGGCCCAAGCTCGCCAATTCTTTCCAGCAGGGAGAGACACGGGGGGCCAGGCGAGCATGAAGAGCAGACCGACTTGGTTGACTTGTGGGGCAAGCCTCCAGGCGCGCACGGCCTGAGGGAAGTTGAGGAGACTTGCAGCGCGCAGTTCGTCGCAGTCGCAGCGAGGACATGCAGCGGTCCGTCCTGAGAGCTCGGTGCCCGCGCGGGCGCGGGCGGTCGCTCTGCCAGCACGCGTGCTCGAGTCACGTCGTCCGAGAGGGGTCGGGTCTGGCAGTTGGTCGCGCCTCCTTCTTGCCCGCGGGCGTGCGCGCGCGTGCGCGTATATCTTTTCTGGCGCGTTCGTTATGGTGTTGCCACGGGGGCCGGCGGCTCCTGCTTTATTTCCCAGTGAGAGCTACTTGCGGATATCTGGCAGTGAGATCGCATAGTGTGCTTGACCACACTTATGCCGCGGCAGCCCGCGTGAGCTAAACATCCCTGATTGTACTTAGTGGCGCTTAGTTGCATGTTAAGTGGCGGCTCGTTTTACTTGAGTGGTCTTTAAGCGTCGTCTGCCCGCGCGTCAGATCGGCGAGCGCAACAGATCGGCCTTGAACGGCACTTATTTGCGCCCCAGTGACGTTTAGTTGCACTCGCGCGGTTTTGCACAGCACCGCGAACAAAACATTATAACTGAAAACGCATTAATTTTGGGGCCCGATGCTGCCTCGCGTGGCGATGTGCAACTAACTTTATATTGCTTGGGGTTCTGGCATGGCGCCGCGCAAAGTAGGGCCTGCAGTGGGTCGAGGCGCTCGGGGCACGCGCGGCGCACGCGCGCGCAGTTGTCTGCGCCCGCCAGGGTAACCCAGGGGCTTTGCCCAAGGAGTGAGCAGCAGAGGAGCAGCAGGGGGATGCGGTTCGGCTGCAGAGGGATGAGGTGTTGCAGCAGCAGAGGGGCGAGGTTCGGCTGCGGCGGCGGGGGCGACGGCGGCGGCGCGCTGGCAGCGGCGACGGCGGCGAAGGCGCAGCGCTCCATGTGGGTTTTTTTGCAGCGCCCTGCTCGGCGCAGGTCTCGCTGCGCGGCGCGGTTCGGATAGGATGCGACGTCTTATGGTCGCAACCTCGTGACCAGGTGCCCCCGGCGGGTTCGACGGCGGCGCCCCGATGACCAGATGTTTGGGGCCCATTCGTTTTCGTCGCAGGGTTGCTTCGAGATAGCCGCTGTTGCGGGGTCCACGCGTAACGTTATCCACCTCGCAGTTGCCCGACCGGAGACTGCCCGGCCGCTGCTGTTTCGGCCCAGGCAATGGCTCGGGGATCGAGCGACCATCTTTCAAACAATCGCCCCGGCCGAGAGGCGCCCCTTCGGGGGTTCGGCGATCGGGCTCCTCGAGCACGCGCCGCGCCAAGATGCCGCCCGAGCGTGACCCTGAGAAGACCCTGCACGTGGCCTTCCCCGACCAACGAATAGGGTTCTCAGCGGGGGCCCCATGACATGTCGATGGACCTCCTCTGGAAACGATGCAGCCCCTTCAGGAGGAGGTGATCGATAACGAGAAGAACATCAATATGCCCCAGAGCACGGTGATCCCGACGTGGAAGCTCGTCGGGGATAAGAAGCACCATCTGGCCGCCAATGCGAAGAACAAGGAGGGGAAGAAGAAGCGGGCGGACGCCTGCCCCTGCGCGCGGCCTTCTGCCGCCCCCAGCGCCTGACCGCGCTGCCATCGCAGAGCGTCGCGCCAGATGCTAGGTCAGCTGGCCGCGGCCGCGGCGGCTGGGCGCGCAGGTGGGCTCGCTTCGGTAGAGCCCGCCAGCGGCCTTGTAGGGGGTGATGCGAGGACGGGAAGTGGAGGATGAGAAAGCACAGCTGAGGCGCGACGGCTGCGGCAAGCGGCGGCGAGGGAGGCGGGGGGGGGGGGCGGCTCGGGGCCGGGGGAGGGGGCGGAGGGGGGGGGGATGGAACGGGGATGGCGCAAGCATTCTAGTAGCTCTCAGTCACGCTCTGTCTGTCTCCGACGTTGGTCGAGGCGCAATTTATTAACACACATTGCCGCCTGGCCGCCGGCCGCTCTTAGCTCGCTCGCTCGTCCAAGTGTCTCATGGCTCGGTGCGCGGCGGAATGTGCATCTCCTCAGCCCCCTGGTCACGCCCCGCGTCCAGCCTGCCCTTGGACCACCTCGCGCCCTCGAGGGTTGGTGGGGCTTGCTCCAATCCCCTCCCCTAGCTGTCAACCTTCCTCGAAGCGCTCCTCTGCCCCTCCGCCTGCGCGCTGCCCATCCCCCTTCCCTATCCCCATCGGCCCGCCTTCCGTTTCCCCGCCCGCCGCCCTCCTCTTTTCAATTTCCCTTCGTCGTTCCCAATCGTCATTTTCTCTCTTTCCACCACTGCCATCTTTGCAAATGATAAAATTGTTGGTTCGCTCATATTGCGGCGCCGTCGGAGGCGGATGTTCAGCGGCGCCGTCGGCGACTGGAACGCCCCGCAGTCTCCAGCCCTCCTCGCGCTGCAGGGGGTCGAGGTCTTTCTTTCTTTCTTTCTTTCTTTCTTTCTCTATTTCTTTCTCTCTCTCTCTCTCTCTCTCTCTCTCTCTCTCTCTCTCTCTTTCTCTCTCTCTCTCTCTCTCTCTCTCTCTCTCTCTCTCTCTCTCTCTCTATGCATATATATATATATATATATATATATATTTCTTTCTTTTTTTTTTCTCTCTCTCTCTCTCTCTCTCTCTCTCTCTCTCTCTCTCTCCTCTCTCTCTCTCTCTCCTCTCTCTCTCTCTCTCTCTCTTTGTTTCTCTCTCTCTCTCTCTCTCTTCTCTCTCTCTTTTTTTCTTTCTCTCTCTCTCTCTCTCTCTCTCTCTCTCTCTAGTTCTCCCTCTCTCTACCCTCTCTATCTCCCTACCTACTTCTTTCCCGACTCCCTCATTCTCTCGTTCTTCCTGCTGCAGAAATGACGCACACCCCTGCCCCTCGCCACTGGGCCCCCCTTGCAAGAGCCGCCCGGTACCCTGCGACGCCACTTTGCAGACGCTCTGCAAATATCCCTGCGATACCTTGCAAAACCAGACCCATGCAGCGCTTGCAGCGTGCCGCAGCCCATCGGAGCCAAACGGAACAGCGCAAACAAGGAATACCAAGCCGCCTCGCGAATGACCCAGCCATATGCAGTTGCGAGCACCGTAGTTGCGAGTGTCATCGCAATGGAGAGGGGGGGGGGAGGGCGCGCGCGCCCTGCCTTTGGGCTTTAGGCGGGGGAACGACACATGTGGGCGGTCTGCCGAGTGGGGGCGCATGCGGGCGCAGCCACTTGGGCCTTCGGCGGGGCCCCATGCGGGGCAACGGAACGCGCGCGCGCGCGCGTTTGGACGGGCGCGCTGGGGGCGGGGCGGCGGGGGCGAGGAACGGGGGGGAAGTGGGGGGGGCTGGTTGGGAGGCGCGCGCGAGTGCCGAAATGAGTGGTTGGGGAGCATGCGAACGCCTCCACTGGAGCCTGCGGTGGGGCCCCCTTTGTTCCCTTGGTGCCGCGGAATGCGCGGACGCGCGCCGCGCTTGCAGCGCTACCACCCCCTGTTCAGAAGCTCCTCACCGCCGAGCTGGGTCTCAACATGTCTTGCACTTTCGACGCCGAAGCCCTGGAAGCGGACCCGGCCTCGCAACGCCGGCAGATCTTCTCCCGGGCCCCACCCCCAGATTTCCCCCTGATCTTCCAGATCTTCCTCCAGCTATTCCCCTGGGCCCCCGCCCCAGACCCCCCCCGGCCCTCCCCGCGCAGATCCCCCCCCCCCCTTGATATTCCCTCAGATCTTCCCCAGATCCCCCCCCCAGATCTCCCTCTGGATCCCCCCCCCCCCCCCCCCCCCCCTTTTTCCGATCCTCCCCGAGCAGATGCACCCCCGGATTCCCCCGCATCTCCCCCCCAAATCACCCCTTCCAAAGTGCTCTCCAGATATTCACACCGCATCTTCTTCCTGATCCCCCCCCCCGCCCCACCTCGCCCCCCCCCCCCCCCCAGACCCCGCCCTCAGATCCCCCCAAATCGCGCGCGTCAGAGTTGGCTCTTGCAGGAGGCTGGCAGGAGACTGGAGGACTTCGGCGAAGATGTTTTCCATTTTCCTAGCGTGAAATTTCTTCGCTGAAGTCGGCAGCGCAGCGCGAGGGGGCGGGGGGGGGGCGGGGCGGGGCGCGCGGGCGCAGCCGCACGGGCCTTCGGCGGGGTGTCCTGCGGGGCCACGAAACGCGCGAGGGAATTCAATTGCGGGCTGATTCAACAGCATCAGCTATACTTCAATCGCATAACGACTATGCGGACTTTCCCCGGCTTCCCATGACCCCCAGAAGCCCCCGCATTTGTTTCTCTGGAGAAGGGCCGGGCAAGGGTCCGAGAGGGCCTCGGGACGGGGCCCAACGCGTCCGATATATATATATATATATATATATATATATATATAGAGAGAGAGAGAGAGAGAGAGAGAGAGAGAGGAGAGAGAGAGAGAGAGAGAGAGAGAGAGAGAGAGAGAGAGAGAGAGAGAGAGAGAGAGAGAGAGAGAGAGAGAGAGAGAGAGAGAGAGAGAGAGAGAGAGAGAGAGAGAGAGAGAGAGAGCCGAAAGCCTCGCGGCCCAGGGCGCCCAGGGCACGCATCGCAAAGCAGCGTTTGGCGGGTAAACAGGCATTGCACGCAACCCATGAGTTCACTATGAAACAACGAACATGAAGTTGAATCGGGTGTCCGTTTGAAACGAGCGAAATCCTGGCCCTGGAAGTCACGTCGTGCACCCCCTGTGACATATTCGTTCGTAAGATGCGGCCTCGAGCTGCCGGCGAGTGGGCCCTGCGCGGGGGGGCGGGGCCGAGCGGCCCCAAGGTCGCGCGCGGCGAGGGGCGCCAGCAGCGCAACAAGGCAGTAGTCGCCGTGGCCCTTGGCCAGGGGCTTCGCTCGGCGGCGGGCGCAGCCGCTCAGGCCACCCTCCAGACAGGCAGCGAGAGCTTCCAGGCATTCGACGTCGTGGAGAATACCCGCATGCGCACCGTAGCCATTTTGGCTCAAGCCATTTCCCGTGGCCCGTCCTTCGGCCTCCCGTGCTGGGCGCGCATGGCCGTGGGGGCGCCGCTGGAGGGTGCGGGCTTGGGAGCGATGGCGGCGGGGAGACGGCCGCGGCGGCCGTCTGCGGCGTGGTGGAGGCCTCGGCGCGAGCGGCGGGCCGCGCAGCGCTGGGCAGCCCTCCCCCGCGAGCGCCTGGTGGAGCGCCAGGCGTCCGAGCTCGTGGAGCTGCGGAGCCCGGCATCGGCCCCCCCCCAGCGCCCTGCGCCGCCTGGCGCTTGTGGCGCCCGCGCAGATCGCCAAGGAGCACGGCGGGCCGCTGGAGGAGGAGCGCATCCTCGAGCGCCATGTGGGGCGCCACGCGCGGGCCCTCCCGCGACCTGGCGCTCCGCGGGCCGCCTGGACGAGGGCGCAGCGCGGGCCGCGCCCCCCGTGCCCGAGGTCGGCCGTAGCGGCGAGCTCAGCGGAGGTGGAGCCGCGGGCTGCGGGCGCACATGCCATTCACGTCGCTGATCTTGAAGCGGAGCTCGTGGCGGAGGCTGACGCCCAGGCGAGCGGCGGTGCGTTCCCTCCCCCGCCAGGCGTTTGGCTGGTCGCTGACCCACTGGCAGGGGCGAGGGCCTTCCGGGAGGGCTTCGACGCGGGCTGGCGCCTCGCTGGGGCGGCCTCCGGCGCTCCGCGGGGCGGCGACGGCGTGGTGCTGCAGGAGCAGTGCGTGCCCTCCTCGTCCTTCCGTGGCGTATGGGAGGTCTGCAGCGACGGTGCGTGCGGCGGCGGGCAGCTTGCCCCTGCCGCCAGGGCAGAGCCTGGCCCACCCCGTGAAGGGGGTTGGAAGGCAGGCGCGGCGATGGAGGTGGACGGCAGGGCCGCCCTCCAGGCGCCGCGTCGTGCGTTCGATGGTGTGCAGGGCGGCGCTGCAAGCGAGAGCGCGCCGCGGCCCCCGCTGCTTCTGGAGAGCCTGGCGGGCCCAGGCAGCGACGACGGCTTCGATGGCGGCTTCGTGGGCGGCCCTGTCGACGGCGACGCGGGCGGGGGCACGGCCTGCCCTGGGCCCCCCGCCCGTTCGGAGCCCGACAGCCACGCCCTGGAGTATCTGGACCGCTTCGGCGCGGCGGCGCTGAGCGGCGGCGCGGCCGTGGAGCTGGGGAGGGGCGCCGCTGGTTCCGAGCGGGCCGCCGCTGCGGCGAGAGCCGAGCGGTGCCTCCCTTTCCTCGATGAGTTCGGCTTGGCCGCGGTGGCTGCTGCGGCCCGCGGGCCGCTTTCGGGAGTGGAATCGCTCCTGGACCTCACCGAAGGCCGCGCCGATGATTGGCTTCTGAAGCGTGAGCTTACACTCGGAGGCAGGGCAGAGGTCGAAGCCCGCGCCGAGGGCTCACTGTTGCAGAAGGGAGTTCGTAGTGATTCTTCTTAACGGAGATTGCTTTGAGGTGGATGGTCAGTGATCGCTTCTGGCTCATGCTGTCCTCACACCTTGATGCTGGGAGTCGTGAGTGAAGCCTCCTGTGCTCGAATGCGCGCGCTGTGTATTTGCAATGCAGTCGAGTTCACTCTGGCGCAGGAAGTGTAGTTTCGTTTTGTTCTGCGCTGCTGGAGGGGGGGTCGGCTTGTCCTGCGTTCGGCAGCCGTCCCCTGGTGGCCGCGGAGGAGGCCCAGGGCCTGGGCCTGGGCGGCCCTGGGAGGCCCCGCGGGGAGAGGCGGCCCTGGGCTGCCCCTCTCGGGAGGGCGTGTCTCGGGTGGCGCTGGAGGCCCCTGGAGGCCCCTCGGTCCTTTCTTTCGCTTTTAAGGCCCCGACAATTCAATGCAATGCCCGCGTGCGCTTGATCGCCAGGCGCCCCGCCCAGGCCACCTCCGCGGCCGCCGCGAGGTCAGACCTTCAGTTGGAGCGCGCCCCCCAAGGGGTCAGCGACGTGACGGCGGTGGCGACGATGCCGCTGGAGCCGGGGGGAAGAAGATGAAACGCTGCACCTCTTCCAGCCCGCGGGGGGGGGGGGGGGGGGGGGGGCTCCCGCGGGCTGCCGAGATCCAGGTCATCTGCGAGTGGTCCACGAATTGTGTGGCGCTGACGGCCGACAACCAGCTTCGCCGCCCAGGGCGAGGAGGCGCTCGCGCGACCCACTGCGGCGGCCCTCGAGAAAAGCGGCATCGAGACGCTCGTCGGCAAGATTGGCAACGACGCGCTGCCGACCTACGCCGCGTTCATAGCATGGGCGCCGTGCGTCTTCGAGGCATCTGCCATCGCCTGTCGCGGCGTCGCCGCAGAGGCCGCGGATGATCGGGGCCGCAGCTTTCAGCCCCCGTTCTGCAGGCAGGCGGCGCCTTTCTAGCATGCAGACCCCCGAGGGCAGTCTCTTCGACGACGCCGGTGCCCCCGCGAGCCCGCGCGCCGCGCCCGGCGCATGGGGCGGCGCGACCGTGGCGGGCGAGGGCCAGGGGGAAGTGGCGACGGGGAATGACTTGCTGGCCAAGTGGAAGGCCCGCATCGCATGGAAGGACGTCATGGACGACAAAGTGGACGGGCGTATTATTGCCGCCTTGCTCAAAAAGATCACCCGCCCCCACCCGACGGCTGCCGCCCAGGCCGACGGGCCTATCTCGACGTAGTTCTCCGACGAGATCCGCATCGCCAAGAAGTTGCAGCCCGGCAACAGTGGCGGGCACTCTTGGGCCCAGGTCTTGGACAGCGCGAGGGCCATGGCCCATGCAGGTGCCACGTTCCCCAGTGGCACGAAGAACGCCCTGGTGACCACTAGGTTGCAGAGCTTTGACACCCGCGCCCACGTCTCCGCCTTCGTCCGCATTGCGACGCCCATTCGGAAGACCGGTGGCCCCTTCAACCCAGAGGAAGCCACGTTGGCCACCGCTGTTGACGACGAGGACGAGCGCGCGAAGGTATTCACAGGCACGGTCCTGGAGACGGCCGTCTGCAACGCCATCGCCAAGGGCCCCTCGCTGAAGGCTTTCGTGCGCGGCGTCATCTCTGGCTTGGCCGAGGAGTTCGAGGTTGTTCATTGACTTGGTCGACGTCGGGGGAGTCCTCGCAGGGCTCATCGCGGACATCCAAGACGTGGGCCGCGCGTGGGCCATTCCCATGAGCGATGCCCCCTGCCTCGACGTGGCGCGGGAGACCTGCAGCTCTATCTCCCGCCGCGTGGAGGCGATGTGCTCCCAGGGCACGTCGGTCTTGCACTTCGCGGGCGCCGCAACGAAGAGGGCGTTTCGATGGGCTGGCAGGGTCGAGGCGTTCAACGAGAATGGGCCGTTCTTGCGGGGGAACCTGCAGGCGTTCCGCATTGCTCGCGAGGTGGTGCTCAAAGCGAAGGCGCGTGATGATCGATAGTTCGGGCGTTCTCTCTGGTTCCCCCCTGGCCGCCCCGTGCGCCCCCGCGCAGCGCGCCGCCCCCCCGGCCCCGCAGCCCGCGTGACTTTGGGGCGGGGGCATCTGGATTCCCCGACTCGGCTGCCGCATTCTGCCCCCAGCGCCCCGGCCCCCAGTCTACATCCCACGCGCCTCGGGCCCTTCCCGCCCCGCCCCCGCCGCCCCCCGCCCCCGCCCTTCGGCTCGCCCCCCCCCCCGCCCCTTCCGCCGCCGCGCTGCGCTTCCCCGCGAGGCCGAGCCTGGCGGCGCCGGGATTGACCTCGCCGTGTTGCGCGACTATTGCGGCAAGTGCGCGGCGCGGAAGATCGGGTTCCCAGCTGGCTTGACCGGCGAGTTCGAGTTGATGCTGAAGCGTATCGTCTGCTCGGTCTGCCTGGACTTGCAGAGCGACGCCCCCGCGCAGCTGCTTGCGCCAATGGGGGCCATGCAGGTTTCGAGTTTAGCCCAGGAGGCGTCTTTGTCCTTCGTCCTGGACGGCGTTGCCAACGCAGCGAGTTCGCGCGTGGCCACTTTCTCGTGCAAGATGGAGGCGGCGACCAGCCAGGATAATTTGATTAACGCGCGTAAGGGCCTGCTGCCGTCGGCCGACGCTCAGGCTGTTGCACGCGATCCGTCGTTCAAGCATGACTCGCTGGAGCGCGTTGCGGCGCTGTTCAGAATCAGCCAGGACGACCGCTCGGGGCAGGAAGACTAGCAAACCTGACCGGCCTTCCGTCGAGGCTGCCATGATGGGTTTTGTGATCGAGTTGGCCGCGGACTCCGCGGGCGAGCACTCGGCCGAGTATTTGTTCTGCTTGGAGAAGCCGCATGCGACCCAGCGGCGCAAGGGCGCCGCCATCGAGACATGCACCGGCGCGATTAAAGCTTGCATCAGGTTGGGCTCAGCGCCGACTGTCGCCGAGGAGTTCAGCAAGAAGGAGGGCTTCGCCACCGTGGCTGCCTGGGCAGAGCACTCGCGCGCGCTGGGGCTGCGCGTGAAGAAGGCGAAGCTCATGGTTCCGAAAGGCGGGCCATGCCCCGAGGGACCGCCGCAGCCCTGCCTCGAGAAGGCAACCGCGTTGGTGGGCACTGCCGACGAGTTGATCTCCAGCAGCGGCGCGGCTAACATGGACGCGTCGAAGGCGACGCTCGTCCAGAAGTTCGGCGAGCCTCAGCAGATGAGCAACGGCGCGGCGAACGGCAAGCCCCGGTGGGAAGGTTTGCCCGACGACGCTGACGCGAAGAAGACCATTGTCCAGATGATGGCTGCCGCCAAGGTCGCCAGCTTCACCGCGATGAGGGCAAGGTAGTCGACGCGCAGCGCAGCCTGGACGCCAGCAAGAAAGCGCGCGGTTTAATGTCGGAGGCCCCCGATGAAACCTTCACTAAGGGCATCGAGAAGGAGTGCCTAAAAGCCCGCACCACCGTGACGGAGAATCTAGCCGTCATGCATTGCGACGTCAACTCGAACGATGCCGATGCCATGCGGCTTGTGGTGGCCAGCGAGACGAGGAGCTACAGGGCCCTGCCAAATATATGAATTTGACCCTCGCCCTCGCGCTGAAGAGCGCCATCGCCAACAGACTGTAGACTGCTGCCGCGCGGACGGCGGGTTGCTGCCAGGGTCGGGCAGGGCCCGCCGACGGGGGAGAGGAGAGGATGGAGGAGGTTGGGCGGGGGCGATGGAGGCCGAGGCGGTCGACTACGAGGGGGCGGGGCGAGGCAGGGCGGGCGCGGCAAAGCAAGGGATGGGTGGGCAGGGGGAGGATAGGGACAGGCTGGTGAAACATCGACTGGGCTGGCGAGTGCGCGCGTGCGTGGGCCGTGGGACGTGCAAAGCGGCAGCTCGTTTCCCTGGGGCGTGGTTGTTTCTCCTGAGTGATGTTTCGAGCTGGGCGGCTTCGCTCCGCGCTCTTTCGCCCCGTGCCCACGCCCCGCGCGCTGCTCTGGCCGTGGCCGCCCACCGTCCGTCGCGCCACCCCCGGCCTCCTCAGTATCCTCGGTCTTCGGTTACCTCTCCAGAGCGCTGGGCCCGGTCGCCGATTCGAGCTCGAGCGCGTAGGTTTCGGATGTCCCGCAGCTGTTCGACCGGGAACTTCAGGGGCAGGGGGCTGGGGGGCGCGTGCGGGGCGGGCGATGAGGGGCACGGGGGGTGGGGGAGGAGAAAGGGAAGGTCGGGGGATGAGTCGGAGGGGCAGCGGTTTGGATGAGGAGTGAGATCGGCGATGAGGGAGGGCATCGAAGACTGGGGTGAATGGGGGGACCAGGAAGCCAGAGGACGGGCGCAAGGGTGACCTAGCAGTTCGGCAGTTGCCTTTGCATCTTGATCTTGACGCCGTACCGCCGTGCCGCGTTGTATCGCAGGAGTTTGGGACATGAGGAAACGTTGCGGACGCGTGCTGATGGTGCTGTTGCTTCCCCGCCCCTGCTGCCCCCTCCTGGCTAATGTCCACTCGCCCCTCTCTCCATCCAGTCCGCCTCAATCTTTCTTTATCGCACAGCTCCTCATTCCTCTCTGCTCGTCGGTCTTCCCCTCCGCGCCTGCGTCGCCCAGCCCCCCGTCCAATCCCTTTGATCCAGCCCCTATGCGCCATTCTCTCTGCCGGCGTTCCCCGTCACTCGTTCCTCCGCCGCCTCCCCTGCCCACCTCCATGCCGTCGTCGTCCAGTCATGTTTTGTGGTTGTGCAGTGGCTAAGTGACATTATGGTGAGGCACTCAACTTCTTGGAACAATTTTGGCGTAGTGGCGCATTCGTTATTCCCCTTGCGGCGAATCACAATGCCCGGGCCCACAGTGCATTCCGAGCATTATCTTGAGCTCGCCTGGGGCCAGCCTATCCATTTTATCATTACTTAAGTGATAGTTGCGGTCTTTGCATTCAAGTGACTTGATCCAAAGTCAAAGACTATTTCATGTGATGTGAGATGTCGTTTCTTCTAGGATAGATTTAAGTCGTTACAGTTGCCCCCCCGACGTCCACACCTCGCCCAAAGTGGCATTGAGAGGCCGGCAAAGCCCTCCAACTCGTGCAAAAGTCAATCAGAGGTCTGATAGAGACCTTCGAGAGGCCCCACAGAGGCCCCCTGAGGGACCTCAAGAGGCCACCTGCTCGCCTCAGATCGACGACGAACCCATATCGAAAGGCGTTCAAACACCTTCTTCGCATGACTAGACCAGGGCGAAGTGTTGTGACATGAGGTGGGAGGAGGCAAATCCCTCCCCGAAGGGGAAGAACGCGGCTGGAAGAGAGGATTTGACGGGCCGCCGACGCCCACTGGTGCCGGTGCGACTGACGCTTGACCATTAGCGAAGGGTAGCGGAGTCTGCGCTGTGTACTAGTGGTGTCTCTCATTCATCACACAGCAGGGCCCGCCATGATCTGGTCGATCCGATCCGATATCGAATCCGGTCGCCCCGATCCGATTCGATTCCAATATTTCGATGATGCGATGCGGCCCGATGTTTGCGCGGACGCTGCTGAGTATCCTGTTGCGGGCGATCCGATTTGGGCCCGAAGCCGGCCGTTCCTGCACAGGAGGCACTGGCCGTCCTGCCGGGCGCCGCGGGAGAGGGCCGCCGCCAGCCCGGTCCGATGCCATTTGGGCTCCGCCATCGGGGTTCGCGCATCGGCCAGGCGCGAAGGAGGTACTTCATACCTCGCCCCAGGTCGGGCCGGGCAGAAGGGGGGGATCGTCAGGCACACGGAGGGTTGGGTGAGGGTAAACCGCTCCAGAGCGGGCCGGGCGAGCGTGGGGGGACCGTCAGGCATCCCCAGCGTAGGGGTAATGAGATCGCTCCAGAGTGTCGCGTCCCGAGTTTTCCAGGACGCTCTGGAACGGCCGCGGCGCCCATGACATCCTCCAGACCCGCCAGTTCTCAGCGATTTCAGATTTGTCCTCATCCGAAGGTGTCCTCTCCCTGCCTTCGAACTTAGATCGCCGATGACCCTCAGCCCGTGTGCTACAGCTTGAACGAGCGCTGAGAACAACGCCAGTTTTGGAGGGGTTGCCCTTGCGTTCTGCGCGTTTGGGGGGCTCTCCACCCTGGCCTGGTGGGCCTGTGGGTGTCTCCATGGAGCCTTGTTCCTTGGCTTCCACCGAAGAGGGTCATGTTCTTGATCCGCGTCCTTTAGGCTTTGTGTTGACTGCGGCCCACTGTGTGTACGTGTGTTTGCCCCGTTCGTCTCCACCGATTGCACGAAGTCTGTGTCGGCCCTCATGCCTGCGTCGCATTGAAGGGTTTCGGTGGACAGGGACGCGTTTGCGCTCGCACACGTTCTGAGGATCATCGAGATTGGGAAATGGGATTATCTGAGGGTCATCAAGACTGGGACATGGGGTGGTGCGACATGTGTGTTGTGCAGCCGGTTTCGGCCCCGCCGCCCTGCGCTTCCTCGATATTTCAGGTGCCTCTGGCGCAAGCGGGCTCCTGGAAGCCCAGTTACGTGAGTCCACGCCCCCCAAACTGGAGCTGGAGCAGATGGGGTCGGAGCATCGTGCCGCATCGCCGATGCATCAGGGATGCGGCGCGATCTGGAGCGTATTCTTCTCCATCTCGCCACTGCCGATGCACCAGCGATGCGGCGTGATCTTCTGTCCCCATTTGCTCCGGCCCGACTTGGGAGGTGATTCGTTAGCCCTTCTTTGGATGCAACTCCTGGGAGGTTAGATTCAGACTCGGCGCTGGTATATTCTCTGGTCGAAAAGTTGCCAAATCTCTTTAAATCCTACTTTATCTGGCTTTATCCCCCTCAATCTGGCTCATTAATCCCGATGAGTCTGGTTTAATCCTGGGCCTAATCCGACCTAACCCGGCTCAAGTGTCTCCCAATTATTCACGTTTCGCGTATACCCACAAGTGGCGCCTTCGCGGTTGCCTCTTCGGCCGGCACCTGTCCTGCGCCGTTAATTATCTGCTTTCCCGTGCGTTGTGCCCCAGCCTCGTTCACACCGCCCTCTGGACTTTTCCTTGCGGGCCGCGAATCAAAAAAGTATACCCACAAGTGGGTGGATTGGCGGGTTTTGATATCGCCACGGAGTGGTTCAGCCTTCCGCAGCAGCTGCAGCACCCCAGGCTCACCATCAGCTTTCAGCAAATTGCGTTGCATCACGGTTCGCGAGAGCTCAGCCCCCCTGGCTAGCTCACGTCGTCAATGGCGACTGGAGCCTGGCGCCCCACCGGCGACTCGCTCCACAGGCCTCGCGCTTGCCCCCACTCAGAACGACGGGCTCTGTTACTCTGTTCACGTCTTGATACTGTGTGGGTCGTGCCAATAGCAGGCACCGAATTCCTCGACATTTTGTCCTGTGCACGCGCTCGAGCTCCCAGGATTTCAGCTCCCCTTTTCAGCTTCGGGCTGCTTTGTGAGTGGGCCGGCCGGCTTGTGCCTTCTGTAGCTAATGCGGTTTGCCCGTTTGCCCGGACTCCTTGCCCGCCGCCTGCCTCTTCGCTTGCGGCCGCGACCGAAAAACTATACCCACAAGTGTTGCGGCGTTGCTGAGGTCGCCGGCCCGCCGGCGTTTGGCAATTCGGCTCTTGCGCGGCCCGCTTGGACCTGACTCGCCGCTGGCGCCCTCACCTGCGGTTGCGACAAAAAAATACCCACAAGTTTGTGCCCCTTGACGCCGCCCGACCTTGTCGCCGCGGTCGCGATCAAAAAAGTATCCCCACCAGCCCATTCAGAGACCCAGACCTTGAGAGTTGACGGGGAAAGAGACGAAGAGACACATCTAGTGAAACAAAGCGAGCAACCAGGGTGAGCAGAGAGATCTCTGGCAGCAGTGGGGTGGCCTTGGAAAGCTTGCCATCTCTGGTGGCCGCGTGGGGGCGAGGGGAGGAGGAGGATGAGGAAGACCACGACGATGACGATGACGACCACGACGATCAGGAAGAGGAGGAACAGGAACAGGAAGACGATGAGGGCAAGGACGACGAGGAGGAGGAGGAGGGCAATGGCGACGAGGACCCGTGAAGCCATCTTATGTTGATATGGATTAGGACGAGGAGGAAGACGATGAGGATGCGGGGGGCGGTCTTTTGCGCCCATCTTGGGGCTCGGTGCCCTCCTACGGCTCGCTTGAGGGGTCTTTGAGTTCTCTTGGAGCTTTTTTGGGGGGTCTCGGGGCGCTATTGGGGCCCTCTTGGAGCTCTCTTGGGGCTCTCTTTGGGGTCTCTCGGGGCTCACTTGGGCCTCTCTTAAGGCCTCGTGGGGCTGTCGTGGAGGGTGTCGGTGAAAAGAGAGGGGTACTAACGTTTAGTCCCCCCTTCTTGGCCATCGAAGTAGCATCTTGGGACGCTCTTGGCCCCCTCTTGGGGCGCTCTTGGGGCCGTCTTGGGGGCAACTTGGGCCCCTCTTAGAGCTCTCTTGGTCCATCTTGGGGCCACCTTAACGACTCAAAAACTCATTGGACACGAAAAGGCGAAAAGGCAACAATCAGTGCTTTCCCTTGGGTTTGTGAAGGGTTTTGGCTTCTCGGGGAGGTCCTGAGGGGTCTTTCAGGGCACCTGGAACCGTCTTGTGGCCCTCTTGCGGCGTCTTGGAGGCATGGTGGAGGTAATATTGAGCGTTCTTGCCTTTTCTGGAGCCCTCTTGGGGACCATCTTGGAGCATCGGATGCCCTCTTGGAGCCATCTTGAGCGAAACATGACCCTCTGATGACTCGCGACCCCCTCGTCAAGACCCCTGGGAGGGGAGGGGGAGGGTACTCCCCCCCGAAGACGTTAGACCACCTACGCCCAGAGGGCTGGTGGGATTGTCGGGCTTCGCAGCCCCTACTTGTTCTGACGAAGATCCAGGAGCTGCTTGCTAACATCCTCTGTGCCGTTCAGGAGCGACAAGAGGACGCACACGTGCATGAGCCCACGTTGGTTTCGAACGTGCACATTGCGAGAACGTTCGTATCGCGAGGCTGGTCTCGCGGACCTGGGGGCCATATTCGTGTAGGTGGTTGGGCTCCTACGTTTTCTGTGGGCTCCCTGGCTGTTCCCGCCTTCGTCCGACCCTCGGCCCAGCACGCTCGCGCGCGCGCGCCAGCGCTCCCCGTCATGGCCGCGGCGGGGGGAGCCGAGGCAGGGCGCGCCCCGTGGGCGGGTGCGGGCCTGGAGCGAGCGGCGAGTCGGGCGTAGCGCACTGGGGAGGGGGTGAGGCACGTCAGGCGATCGCAAACATGGATTTTGAGGGGGCGTGGACTGGTGACGGGTCCCGCTTCCGTGGGAGATCGCGGATTCCCGCCTCCGAGCGAGGCGGCACCAGCCGCAATTTGAGGAGGGCACTTACCCCGATCCATGTTTGCGCGCCCGCGAGAAAGGTGTACCGCTTGTGCCTTAAAAAGGGGTCCATAAAACAAGAGGTCCGCTGGGATTCAGAAGGGGCACCCCCCACCCCCCCATTCATCGCCTGTCCGTCCATGGTCTGCAGTGGTTGTTGTGGAGAGCAGGGCCATCAGAGCGGGGGGCCAGATGGGGTCGAAGGAGCGAGCGGAGGAGGGGTCGTGCCAGCTCGTATCGGGGAAGCGCGGTCGGCGATTCAAACGTGGCAATTTCCTATCCTTGAGGCCCCATGCCTCAGGGTCCCATCTTTGAACCGTCGACGTAGGGCTCGAGTTTGACTGACGGAGCCATTGCACAAATTACGCGATCAAACCTGAATTCTGGCGCGAGTTTAAAACGAAGACGGGATCCTCATACATTCAGATGAGGATTTATCGGGTACGTATACGACCACCCTGCGGGTGATAAGGAGGTTGGGCGGGGCAGCAATGGGCAAAAGTGGTGATTGTTGTTCTGACGATGCCTGTGGGGCGGAGTTTAGTGAGTAGTGTGATTGTGCACGTGAGCGTGATGTGATGTGGCGATGTTGCATGTCGACGTGCATTGGAAAGCTCGCCGCGGCGCCCACGGCGCCTTACGATCTGCATTTGGATTTGCAAATCGATTTGCATTTCGATGTGCTTTCCGGTCTGCATGTCGGTTTGCATGCAGACTTGCATTGGATAGCTCGCCGCAAGCGGCGATGTTTTGAAATGCACAACCCACGGCGGGACACCAGCGGGACACCGCGGGCCACCGTTTGACCGGAGGAGCATCATTTGGTCCGGCCGCGGCCCAGCCACAGGAGGAGTTCGGGACACCAGCGGGACACCCGCGGAACACGGTGACACCGCGCGCCACCGGCCGCCGGAGGAGATTCATTCACGAGGGAGCGCGGCCTTGGGAGCGCGGGCGCAGTGTAATTTACCAGGGGTCGTGGCCCAGGGAACGCGGAGGCAGCGTAATTTACGATGGATCGTGGCCCTGGGAGCGCGGACGCAGCGTAATTTGCAAGGGATCGTGGCCTTGCGTCCCGAGGCGAGTCCCTCTGGCAAGTCGCGCGGCGCGTCCCGTGGCACGTCCCGTGGCACGTCCATTGGCACGTTCCGTAGAGCGTCCCCTTGGCACGTCCCGCGGTGCGTCCCCATGGCACGTCCCCTGGCACGTCACCTGGCGCGTCCATTGGGACGTTCCGTGGCGCGTCCCCCTGGCATGTCCCCCTGGCATCGCCTAGTTGCGTATGCAATTGAGGTCCTTAAAAAAGTTCCATGCCTCGCAGTTCTCAATCCTTTCTGGGTTCGTGGCTCGATCATATTGCCGTGGGTGTTTTTTCTGTAAGGTTGTTCGCGTGACTTTCTTGTCGGTACGTTGAAATTCAGAACAGTTTTGGTTCAGGACGGGCTCTGGTTTTCGGCTGCTCTTCAGATCCGCATCGCGGAAGCTGTCCGTGCCCGAGGCGCGCGGTGGCCGGACACAGCCCTTCGCTCATGATTATGCTTCCCTATGGCAGCACGATGGCTGGGGACGCTGGTCCCAAGGCGACTGGGCAGTTTATGCCCGGACGTGGCAGCGTCGGGGCGTAAACTTTCCCGCCGCCCCGGGCCACTGGGGCAGGCGTCCCCGATGGCGGAACGTGACATCTTACATCGATACTCCCTCGCCAACAGCAAGCCATTCGGACCTCGTTGCTGTTTATGGCGTTCTCGTGCTTCTCCATGCCCGTTCTCGCCCGCGTCGCCTCCCTCTCGGGCCCTTCACGCCAGGGCGAGGACCCGTTCGCAGAGTTCATCGCGCAGGCCCTTCAGCGCCCGCCGCCCGCCGCCACTCCTCGGGGCAACCAGGAGTCCCAGACTTCCGCAGGATGGAAACATCGCGACGCCTGTTCGTTTCTGCCTTTGGGGTGGTCGGGTGAAGGAAGGTTTTATATTTTTTGTTGTGCCCTCAAGGGCCCTACAAGGGATCCACTGGGGCCCAGAAGGTGCACGAAGGGTCCCCCCACCATCGCCCCCCATCAAGTAGCGCCCAAGCTTTTGGATTCGGGACGATCGACTCGGATACGGAAAGAATGGGCACTAACACTGACAGCAGTCCTTGCCCATGATACATACAACGGGAGACCGTGTCCCGGGGACGGGGGCCGGCGCCACGACCACAGATGTGGGGCCCCAGCGCCCTTTTCCATATGTTTTTACTGGGGTTCGGCGACCTGGGGCCAACAGGGCCCCAAGAGGCTGCAGGGAGGCCCCAGGAGGCCGCAGCCATGGCTCCAGACGCATTTCAAGACGACTCCCATGACGCCAAGAAGCCCCCGAAGACGTTCCAAGAGGCACCCCGAGAGAAAGGCCCAATCAACAAACATCGTCGATTTCCCAAGGGAAAACTTGTATTTTTGGCGTGTTTGCTTTTTGGGCGTCCACTGCGTCCTAGACGGCCCAAGAGGCCCACAAGACTGCCCCACAGGCTCCCAAGAGGGCTCCAAGGCGACCCCAAGAGGGTCCCAAGACGGCCCGAGAGGCCCCCAAGACAGCCCAAGAGAGCCCCAGGACGAGCCCCAGAGGGGTCCCAGAGGTGCTCAACAATATTCAAATTCCGACCTTTCGGCCCCAGAGGCTCCCAGGAGGCCCCAAGAGGTCCCCAAGAGGCTCCCAGAGGCCCCCCAGAGGCCCCCAGAGGCCCCCAAGAGACCCCCAGGAGGCTTCTAAGAGGCACCCCAATCGAGCCCCAAATAAGCAAACATCGTAGATTTCCGATAGGAAAACTGATATGTTTGGCGTGTTCGCCTTTTGGGCTTCCACTGCGTCCGAGACGGCCCAAGAGGCACCCAAGACGGTCGAGGATGCCCCCAAGAGGGCTCCAAGACGGCCCACGAGGGAGCCAAGGCGGCCCACGAGACGCTTAAACCGCTCAACAACGCCCCAAGTCGGCGCCCAGGACGGGGACGAGGAACCGAAAATGCGAGCCATTTGGCCCAAGAGGCCCCCAGGAGACCCCAAGAGGCTCCAAGAAGCGCCCAAGAAGCCCCAAGAGGTCCCCAAGAGACCCGCAACAAGCACACAAAGAGCCCCGGAACACGCCCCAGGGGGCTCCACCGAAGGTCCCAGTGGCGCAGTTCGCATGCGTCTCCCCCACCCAGTACAGCGTTTCGTGGCCCCATACGGGGCTCCCCCGAATGCGATACCCACAACTGCATATGGTTGGGTCCTTCGCCAGGCTAATTTCAATGTTTCTGGCCTACTCGCTTTTTCGGCTTTCCGACGCTCCACGGCTGCCCACGTTTGGAGGACGTCTTGGGCCTTTTGGAAAATGGCTTGGACCATCTGGGGGCCCCCCTGTCTGGTGGGACCGCGCGCCACGCGTCAGAAAGTCTGGCAATGTGGGGTCCTGGTCCCTAAATCCACAAATGTTGAGGACTCGAGGGACTTGGGGACACTCCATCCCCGTGCTTCGCGGCGCGGTGCCGGATTTTGATCCGAGTTAAGAGCCCTCCGCGGGCACCAGTTTGCCTTCCTCAAGATTGTTTGATATTCCACACCTTCCCCGCCCCGGTCAGACTCCACCACCTGGGGCCACGCTTGGTACAAATACAAAAGCAATGCCCCACGACCAGGACCCTCGCCCGACCCTCGCCCACTCCCCAGGGCTTTGGGTATAGTGCGCGCGCACTGAGGCCCAACCCAGGGGCCCGCGCAGCCGTGGGGCCCTGCGGTGGCGCGCCCCCCCGTCCTGGGCCCCCGCGACGCCGCGGGCCACCCTTGGCTGTGCGCTGGGCCTTGCTTCGACGAAGACCTGCGAGGCCGGAGCCAGCCAACGCGCACGCGACATGAGAATCGGGGGTGCGTGGACGGAGGGCCCCAATGTGGTGTTCGGGAGCGAATCCGGCCAGATGCTCACGTTTTCTCCCTCCAGGGGACATGTCAGAGTGATATGTCACGAACCCCCACCCCATAACCCCCAAACCCACCTTAACGTCTCCGCGAGACAATGATCCACGCGAGAGGAGAGCGATTCATCCTCGCAGCGCCATGCTACGTCGGGATTGTAAGCCCAGCGGTGCGGCTACGTAGAAGACGTTCTCAGGCGACGATCAGGCATAAGACGTTGCTGTCGTCCGTGAAGCGTCGGGCTCGTTTCGGGGTGGGGCAGGCAGCGCGACGATCTATGCGAGTAGATTGCTGTATAGCCTTCATGAGACTTTACACCGCTCTCCAGAAGGTTTCTAGCCGCGCAGGCCAGCTCGGCACACTCGAATATGGACTCTCGAAATGGGCACGGAACGTCAAACAAGGGCACGATGCCCAACAACAACAACAACAACAACCACAACAACAACAACAACAACAACAACAACAACAACAACAACAACAACAACTGTTGTCCAAAACCGACAGCGGCTGCTGTTATGGATTAGAACTGCTGTCGGTCTTCGTGCCCATTCTTCCCGTACCCATGTCGATCGTACCGGTCGAAAGGCCCAGCGCCCTCCAGGGGCATAGGGGCCCTGCTGCTGCCGCCCGCGGGGGAGCGGCCGAGGACCTCAGCCAGATCTGAGAGGGGGCATGGCCGGCGGGGGTCGGCCGAACCCTTTCCGACCACTCCCCCCGGGGCCAGAAAGTGGGCGCGTAACGGTCGTTACCCGAGGAAGTGCGGCTGCGCCTCGTCGAGGGCGTTCCGGGGCTGCCCACGAGGGATTCAGCGGGAGGATTCCGGCCTCCCACACGAGGCTCGAGCAGATGGAGTCGCAGGGTCGCGCAGCATCGCTGATGCATCGGCAATGCGTCGATGCAGTCGGCGCAGTCGGCGTGAAGAAAATCGGGCTCTACATCGAGCCACATCGCCGACGCATCGGCCGTGCGCGCGATCCTCCCACCCCATCTACTCGGACCCCACTTGGGGTGCCTGGATATTTCCGGCAAGGGTTGTCACCAAGGGGTCGTTTTCCGTCTTGAAATTTCGTGTCGTGTCCATCCAGCAGCGACCCCAGCGCACACGTCCAAGGTTGAACGCCGCCAGAGGCTAGCAATCGGGCGATATCGGATTATCTGCGCTATCAAAGCGCCGCGATCGCTCAAGATCGAACGATCCACGTGGTGCCAAAAACCAATGCACAAGTGGTCACGACATGAACCTTCCGTACCCAATACCCTGTTCAGATTTCGTTAGCATCGGCACAAGTATGATGTGACCCGCCTTAATCTCATTTGATCTGGCCAAATGTGGCCTAATTCGGCTTATTGCGGTGCTAATCTGGGCTCATACAGCCATTCGTTTCTCGTCGCCACGGCTGGATTCGCCTCGAAATCTTGGTGAGAGCGCACCCCCGGAGAGGTCCAGGCAGTAATTAGATGTATGCGTATTGTCTGTCCCCCAGCATTCGACTTGAATAGCCCACAATCGTTCCCGTTCGACGCGGCATCAATGGGTATGCGCGCGACGGGACAGAGAAGCTCCCCCCGAGGATGCAACATGCCCTCCTGCAGTCAAGACGCTGAGATCAGAAGCAGTCCGGGCTCGGAAGAGGTTCGCGCTGTTCCTCAGGCCCCTCCATAGTTGCTCCACCTCGCGCTTCTCGTGCGCCTGGGCGCTAATGGGGCGAAAAGTGGCTTCGCCTCTTCATTTGCGTTCCTCAAGTCGGCGGCGCTGCGCGCCCAAGAGGGAGGTGAGAGGTTGGCAGGCCTTCACAGAAGTTCGGAATGCTTCTCAGAAGTTTTGTTGTAGTTTTGTGAGAAGCCCATTGTGGCTTCAGAGAGGCTTTCGAAGCTTCTCAGAGGGCTCTCTGAGCCTGCTGACACAGCCCGCCCCCTCTTGACTTCCCCCTCTGGGCGCGCCGCCGATCATGGTAGCAGCTTGACTGCTTTAACCTGGTTGAGCTTTCCCTGGATTCCTCCTCAGAGCCTAGAGAGGAGATTGCTTTTCGATCCTCTGGCGCGTAATGGTCGTCATCCAGGCCCCCCCCCCCTATCGGGTAATGGTAACGATCGTACGTAGGCGGCGGGGGAGGTGCTCGCGCGCACGATATGGCGATCGCAGCGTCCCCCCGCCCCAACACCCCCCACCCGCCCAAGCGTTACCATTACCCGGGGCCCCAAACCCATCCCCATTTAACGATCATGATCGGAAATATGCAGGCATCCCAAGTGGGGTCCGAGTGGGGTGAGAAGATCGCGCCGCATGGCCGATGCGTCGGCGATGCGGCTCGATGTAGAGCCCGATTTTCTCCACGCCGACTGCATCGACGCATCGTTGATGCATTGCCGATGCGGCGCGACCCCCCGATCCCATCTACCCGGGACAGGCCCGACCTAATTCTGAACCTCTTGGGAGGTCCCCCAGACATCAACAGCAAAAAACATCTCCCCGTGGCCTCCGAGGCGGCGGCCCGGCGTCCTTCCGCCCCCGTGCGCCCCGCCCCGCTTCCCGCGGCGCCCCCGCCCGCGCGCGGCAGGAGCAGCCGGAGCAGGCCAGAGCGCCCCGCCCCTTTCTCGCATGGTTTGGAGCTGGCTGGGGGTCTGGGGTGGCCCAGCACTGTTTCCGGCCAGCAGGCCGGGCGGGTAGGTTCTGGCTCGGGAAATGGGTTTTGCCCTGTTTGGCCTCCAGGGATCGTTTACGGGCCTCAGGACCACCAGAAACGGATCTGGGGTGAAACATTGCACAAGATGGACCCTTGGAGGCTCTGGGGATTGAATTTGAGCAAGGTTCATGTCAGCCGCCCTCCTGCCCGATTCTCTGGGGCCCAACCCGTTCGGACCCCCCAGCCGCCTACAAGATCAGCCTTTCGTAGCGACACAGAATCCCACACCCACCCCCGACCACCACGGGAGTGAGGACTTGTCGAACGGGCGCCGCGATTGGGGAACTGCGGACGACAGCAACGACAGCAGCACGCACGGAGAGGGAGGGAAAGGAAAGGAGGGAGGAGGGAGGAGGCGGAAGAGAGAGAGAGAGAGAGAGAGAGAGAACAACAGGCACGATACATGTTTGGAGCCGATCCTTAAAAACATGTCTCATGTTTGAAACTGGGGAAGATTTTTGGGAGCGGCCCACGCTCGAGCGCCAGCCTCGAAGGCCGCCGAACTGTCGCCCACACCGCGGGGCCCACTCGGTCCTGGCACCCCGCCCGCCAGTGATTCCCGCGGGTGCCGCCGTCGGGGACGGGGGGCCATTGGAGTTTCCCTGTTTGGGGCCGTACTTGTATCAAGCCATTGAGATTCCGCTGTGCTTCCTTTCTGTTTTTCCCGGAAAGGAGAGGTTCCCCCCCGGCCTCGACGGCTGTACAGTCAACCATGATAGTAAGGATGGGGCAACTTTCCAAGGCTACCCTTGCATCCTTGCCCCTTCGGTATTCGGCATCCTTCGGCATTCTGCTGCGCTCCGCGCGGAAAACGTCAACATGGCGTTCCAAGGCCCTAGCATCCTTACCGCGCATCCTTACAATCCTGGTCGAGTGTAGGGCTGGCGAATTAGATCTGCGATAAATATCAAGGTCGAGTAGGGCTGGCGAATTGAAATATTGAGGATGTCCCGGGCGAAATGCTTGTTTTGCAGAAATTGTTGAGGATGTCTCGAGCGAAATGCTTGTCTCGTGTCATAGATTGATTGTCTTCTCCTGGGAACCAGAATTCAGAGGATCTCTCAAGTGAAATGCTTGTTTTCACGTGCCCAGGTCTTGAGGATGTCTAGAGCAAGACGCTTGGTTTCACGCGTCCAGATTGCCCAGGCAGATGTCTATCACGGAGGTTTGTCGAGGATGTCTCGAGCGAGACGCTTGTTTTCCTCCGTCCAGGTCGCCCAGGCGGATGTCTAGCTTAAGGATGTGTTCAGGAAGTCTCGATCGAGACGCTTGTTTGCACGTGTCCAGGTTGCCCAGGCGGATGTCTAGCATGAGGATGTGTTGAGAATATTTTAAGCGAAGCGCTTGTTTTCACGTGTCCAGTTCGCCCAGACGGATGTCTAACATGAAGATGTGTTGAGAATGTCTCGAGCGAGACGCTTGTTTTCACGTGTCCAGGTCGCCTAGGCAGATGTCTAGCATGAGGAGGTGTTGAGAACGTCTCCTTTGCATCCGAGTCCTGACCGACCTGATCTGGATCTTAAGCTCGAGCTGCCTGAGCACACGGTAGCTGCCCCAGAGCGAATTGACAGGGGGACATGCCAGGAGGACGCGCCGCGGAACGTCCCAAGGGACGCGCCAGGCGACGTGCCAGGGAACGTGCCATGGGGACGCACCGCGGGACGTGCCAAGGGGACGCACGACGGAACGTGCTGGGGACGAGCGTTTCGCTCGAGACATCCTGCCCAAATCCTCATGCTAGGAGCTCGTTTCTGTATTGCTTGGGGCATCACGGGCGTCATGGACCCCGCTCCCACCCCCCCCCCTATGACGTAACGCTCCCTCCCTAGTGCGCTCCGGGTACTGCCGCCGTGCACATTGGGATCCGCGTAGGTGTCCGCGTAGGAATCCGCATAGGAGTCTGGTCCGCAGTAGTCGTCGTCGTCGTCGTCGTCGTCGTCGTCGTCGTCGTCGTCGTCGTCGTCGTCGTCGTTGTCGTCGTCGTCGTCGTCGTCGTCGTCGTCGTCGTCGTCGTCGTCGTCGTCGTCGTCGTCGTCGTCGTCGTTTTTATTCCGGGCCGATGACGGCAATCATCTAAGGGGGGGGTGGAAGGGGGTCGATGACGTGTCACGTTTCGCGCCGGCGGCGTCTGGGAATGCTTAGGAATGACGGAGGACGGGTAGCGCCGGCATGTAGGTGGCGATTTGCACCACAACGCCTGTGTACACTGCAGTGCCTGCGTGCACCACAGCGCCTGTGTACACCACGCCGCCTTTGTACACCACAGCAGCCGCGTGCAACACAGCGTCAGTTTGTGCCTCCGTGCCCGCGGGCACAACAGCTCTAGTGCACACCATAGCGCTTGCGTGCACCACATCAGGCGTGCGCATCACAGCAACAGTGTACACCACAATGCCTGCGTGCATTGCAGTGCCTGTGTGCACCACGGCGCCTGTGTGCACCACAGCAACCGTGTGCAAAACAGCACCACTGTTGTATATAGAATGTTCGAACGAATCCTTATGACAAAATGGAGCGTTTGTGGATTCCACAGAAAACAATCTAACATAATCCTTATGGACAACGGAGCGCCGCTGGAATCTACGAGTCCTCCCGGGTCCGCCCGCATCACCCTAACTCCTCCCATCGGTGTCCAGGAGGCTCCATCGAAATTGGCCTTCGGAGAAACAAGTGGACCGGTTCAATACACCATTATGTGGTGCGCGCTGAGATGCGCACGTGCGCTGTAGCGCCAGCCCGCACGACAGGGGGCAAGGAGGAGGAGGAGGAGGAGGAAGAAATGGAGGAGGAGGACGAGGAGGTGGTGGAGGTGGGGGAGGAGGGAGGAGGAAATAACGTCGCATTCGATTATCAGCACTTCCCTGGCGTGGCGTCTAGTTGTCCGCAGCAGATCCTCACGTACATGCTCCGTCTACTTGTCGTATGCACGCAGGCATTGTGGTGTACACCAGCGCCGCGTTGCACGCGGATGCTGTGGTGTAGACACGCGCTGTGGCGTGCACAAGCGCTGCGGTGTACGCAAGCAGTGTAGTGTACACAGGCGCTGCGTTGCACACGGCTGTTGCGGTGAACGCAGGCGCTGTGGTATACACGCGCGTTGTGGTGCACGCGAGCGTTGTGGTGTACACGGGCGCAGTGGGGCAGATCGCCACCTACATGCTGCTCGCGTCGTCGTCGTCGCTCGTCGCTCGTCGCGTCGCGCGCGCGGGCGCGGCTGCGGTGCCGGAGCCACATCCTCATCACATCCTCATGACATCCGCCTGGGCGAAGTGGACACGTAAAAACAAGTGCGTTGGGAGCGCGAACCCATTGTAATTTACCATGCACCGTGGCCTGCGAGCGCGGGCGCAGCGTTCTTTACCATGGGTTGTGGCATTGGGGGCGCGAGGCCGTGGCACTGGGAGCGCGGACACTGTATTTTACGAAGGGGTCGTGGCTTGGTGGGAGCGGACGCAGCATATCTTACTAGTGATCGTGGCCGTAGCGTGATTTGCTAGAGATCGTGGCTTTGGGGGAGCGGACGCATGATGACTGACGCACTTTGCGGTGGACCGTAGCCCAGGAAGCGCGGACGCAGCGTAATTCACGAGGGATCGCGTTGCCTCTGATATCTCGAGTCGCGGAGATCCAAGAAGGCTGCACGGGATCCGCGGCGCGTTCTTTGGCATATCTCTGGCGCGTCCCGTGGCACGTTCCCTGACGCGTCCCCTGGCACGTCCCCTGGCGCGTCATCTGGCACGTTCCCTGGCACGTTCCCTGGCACGTTCCGTGGCGCGTTCCATGGCGCGCCCCCTTGGCACGTCGCGCGGCGCGTCCCGTGGCACGTCCATTGGCATGTCCATTGGCACGTTCCGTAGCGCGTCCTCCTGGCACGTCCTGCGGTGCGCCCCCATGGCACGCCCCCTGGCACGTTCCGCGGCGCTTCCCTGGGGACGTTCCGCGGCGCGTCCCCATGGCATATCCCGCGGCGCGTCCCGTGGCATGTCCCTTGGCGCTTCCTCTGGCACCTCACTGTGCGGCAGGCACAGTGTAGCGCAGCAGAACACAGCCCCTGGCACAGTATTATCACCATCGAGATCTTCAGCATTGCCACCGCCCATCGCCCAATACTGAGTTCCCTTGACATGTTTCCATACCTCACGGTCCTAAATCCCTTTCTGGGTTCGTAGGTCGACCATGTTGAATGATTGTAGTTTTAGGGGGGGGTCCCGAGGGGGTTCCAAGAGGGGGTTCCAAGAGCATCTGGAACCGTCTTCTGGCCTTCATGGGGCCACTTGGAGGCATGTTGGAATCCATCTTGAGCCATCGTCGGTTTTCTTGGGCCATCTTGGAGGCCACCTTGGGGCATCGGGAGCGCTCTTAGAGCCATCTTGAGCGAAAAAGGACCCTCTGACACCTCGCACCCCCTCCGTCCAAGTCCAGGGGGAAGGGGGAGGGTAAACCCTACCCCGAAGGTGAATAATGGGAGTGGCAGAGGACACCCCAAACAACCTTCGCCCAGAGGGCTGGTGGGATTCTTTGACCGGGCCAGTGCGGGCGTCACGGCGCGCCTCCAGGTGGAAGTTTGCACGCAGATTTCGCAACCAGTAGGTGTTAGGGGTCTGCCTCGACGAGGGTTGGTACCAATCGTTGCAATGTTTCTTGGGGGCGTATTTGCGCCCCTTGAGGGATTAGGCAGTCTTGGAGACCAGCTAAGGGCTTTTGGGGCGCGACGTGCGTGACGGGTGTGCCGAATGGAGGCTTCAAGGAGCCGTCTCGGGGGCCAGCTGAGCGCCAAATATTTACAAAGTGCGTGTCGGTTGAAATGAGCTTCCCATCAAAATGAATGTGCTATTCATTTGTATGCTTACGTCTCCCAGGAGCCGCGAACCTTGAACCACTTGTTCCCAGAACGGGCGTGGGCCCAGGTTTCCCTTTCCGTTGGTGAACCTCGGGGTCTTACATGAGGTGGGTCGGAGGAAGTACTTGTTAGAAATAACGAGGTACCCTCCTCATTGTGTTTTTTTTTATGAAGTGCGTTTCGGGCGTGCCCGCGTGAGGAAAACGTGCCCCGTATTTCGGGTTCTCGATACATGACGGGGTCTGTAGACCCACGCTTTCGTCAGTTAAAAAGGGTGCGAAGCGTTTTGCGCAGAATCTGAGATAGATAACAAGGTATGGTAGCCCTTCAAATTTATGCGCACATGCGCGTGCTCGCTCGAGGATGGCGCGTCCTACGCGAAGACATGTAGAGGATTTCTCGAGCGAAACGTTTGGCTGTCAAAGCTTGAGGGGATTCGGCGCCCCAGGATGCCCAGATACAGGGTAACGTAAACATGTGTTGCGGATGGCTGGGCGAAACCTTTGTTTGGCAGATTGTGTTGAGGATGTCTCGAGCAAAACCTATGTTTTGTCATGTAGTTTGCTCTCCTTGGGGACAGGATTCAGAGGATGTCTCAGGCGAAGTATTTATTTAATCGCTTCGCTCATTCCGCTGGCCCGTATTGTGCCCTCGCTGCCGTTTAGGCTTTTGGGGGCCTTTTTGGGTCCTCGTTGGGGGTTTCTTGGGGGCCTCTTGGGTTTCTGTTGGAGCCTCTTTGGGGTTTCTTGGAGCTCCTTTGAAAGCATTTGGGGGCATCTTGGGGCGTCTGGGAGCCGCTTGGGAGCTTCTCGGGGGCCTCGTGGGGGCCTTTTGGAGGCCTTCTGGGGCGTCAAAGGGGCCTCTTGGCGCCTCCTGGAGGCTTCTTAGGGCCGAGGGCTCGAAATGTTGTTTCGGGTTCCCCCTCTGGGGCTTCTCTTAGACCGTTCTTGGGGCCCTCTTGGGCCGTCTTGGAGGCCTCTTGGGCAGTCTTGGAACCCTCTTGGGCCGTCTTGGGGCCCTGTCGGAGGCCGCTCGGGCCTCTTAGGGCGATCTTGGAGGCCTCTTGGGCCGTCTTGGGGCGTCGCGATGCCGAAGAGGTGGAGACGCCACAATCTCCCCAAAACCTAAGGACAAGCAATGAATTCTGCCTCTTGGGGCCCTCTTGGGAGTGCTCTTGAAAGCCTCGTGGGGCGCCTGGGGGCTATCTCAAGGGCCTTTTGACGGCCCCCTGGGGCTTCAAAGGGGCCTCTTGGCGCATCCTGGGGGCTTCTTAGGGCCGAGGTTTCGAAATGTTGTTTCGTGTTCCCCCTCTGGGCCTTCGCTTAGAGCGTTCTTGGAGCCCTCTTGGGCCGTCTTAGAGGCCTCTTGGGCAGTCTTGGAACCCTCTTGGGCCGTCTTGGGGCCCTGTCGGAGGCCCCTCGGGCCTCTTAGGGCGATCTTGGAGGTCTCTTGGGCCGTCTTGGGGCGTCGCGATGCCGAAAAGGTGGAGACGCCAAATCTCCCCAAAACCTAAGGAATTACTCCGACGGAAGGACCCCACATGAGAATCCTCTGGGCGAATCTGGAAAAAGCCCTCACCGTCGTCCTCGTGGTTGGTGATGCGTCCTGGCTGTCTCTTCTGCGTATGTTTCTTCTCGCCCTGGCGCGGGCCCTCCCCCCGCTCCCTACGTTGCCCCCGACCTCGCCCTCCTGTTTTGGCTCCGGACATTCAGAAAGTGACCTGGGAGTGGTGTTCTGGGAACACGAAGAACACGAAGTGGCCTACAGTTGGCTCCGGGCATTCAAAATGTGGCCCGGGAATTGTGTTCTGGGAACACGAAGAACACGAAGTGGCCTACAGTTGGCTCCAGGCATTCAACATGTGGCCTGGGAATGGCGTTCTGGCAGCGCGAGAGCCCAAAAGTGGCGACAGTTACAGGAATTGGATGGCCCGCTCGGATTAGTAACATGATCCGCGGGCCCCATAGGGAGGGGGCTCCCGCTTGAAGACTTCCTCGCAATTCACTGACAAATCTGGCCTGGGAATGGCGTTCTGGCAGCGCGAGAGCCCAAAAGTGGCGACAGTTACAGGAATTGGATGACCCGCTCGGATTAGTAACATGATCCGGGGGCCCCATACGGAGGGGGCTCCCGCTTGAGACTCCCTTGCAATTCACTCACAAATCTGGCCTGGGAATGGCGTTCTGGCAGCGCGAGAGCCCAAAGTGGCGACAGTTACAGGAATTGGATGACCCGCTCGGATGAGTAACATGATCCGCGGGCCCCATAGGGAGGGGGCTCCCGCTTGAGACTCCCTCGCAATTCACTCACAGACGAGGCCCAAGGCGAGTGAGTGAGTGAGTGAGTGACTGACTGACTGACTGTTGATGATGATGATCATCACACTCTCTCACGCGCACACTCATCATCATCATATGTGAGTGTCAGTGAGTGAGTGAGTGAGTGAGTGAGTGAGTGAGTGAGTGAGTGAGTGAGTGAGTGTGTGTGTGAGGGATGATGAGTGAGTGAGTGAGTGAGGAATGAGTGATGATGATGATGGTGGGTTCCTGTTCCTGCGCGGGGTGTCCAGAGAAAACAAGGACCCCACTATGGATGTGGGGAAAACAATGCAATTTGCCTCTCGGGGCCCTCTTGGGAGTGCTCTTGAAAGCCTCGTGGGGCGTCTGGGGGCCATCTCGAGGGCCTTTGGGGGGCCTTCTGGGGATTCAAAGGGGCCTCTTGGCGCCTCCTGGGGGCTTCTTAGGGCCGAGGGCTCGAAATGTTGTTTCGTGTTCCCCCTCTGGGGCTTCGCTTAGAGCGTTCTTGGAGCCCTCTTGGGCCGTCTTGGAGGCCTCTTGGGCAGTCTTGGAACCCTCTTGGGCCGTCTTGGGGCCCTGTCGGAGGCCTCTCGGGCCTCTTAGGGCGATCTTGGAGGCCTCTTGGGGCGTCGCGTTGCCGAAAAGGTGGAGACGCCAAACTCTCCCCCAAACCTCAGGGAAAACAGTGAATGTTGCTTCTTGGGGCCCTCTGGGGAGTCTCTTGGGGCTCCTTGTCGGCGTCTTGAGAGCCCCCAGGGCCTCTTGGGAGGCTCTTGGAGGCCTCTTAGGGCGGGAGGAGGGGTAGTCGATTGCGGCTCCCCCCTCGGAGGCCACGATCCTCGTGAGGGGTGTCGATAAATGGCCCTCCCCTGGAGTGCTCTGGTGGCTCCTCCCGGGACCTTGCTGGGGTATTTTTGATCCGGGGACCCCCAGTGGCCGCCCCGCGCGCGCGAACTAGAAATATTGTGAACCAGTTACCAGAGATCTCAACACGCCTCTGGCCTGTTGGGCCGGCGAATTTTCACGTGCCCAGGCCGCCCAGGGGGGTATCTAACGTGGTTGTCCCTAGATGGAATCACGTGTTTTCGTTTGTCCAGGCCACCCGGGGTGGGGGGGGTATCTAAGATGGTGGTCCCGCGCTGGAGCAATGTGTTGTTACGTGTGCGGGCCACCCAAGGGGGGATGGTCGTTTGGAGGGCCTTGGGGGGCCCACAAGAGCCAGACAGCATTAATGAAGCGACCCCACATGTGTAATAACTTGACCCAGTTTCTTCGGCTGGTGATTTTCCAGACTTCCCCCTGGGGTATCTAATATGGTGGCCCTGAGCTGGGATCATGTGTCTTCACGTCCCGCGGCGCGAGCGGAACGAATGGTGGCCATTCTGGTCTGAGGCATCCTCTTCGGCAGGAGCGTAAGTGCTACGCCCGCTCACGGCGTGAGCGGGCGGAGCGCGCGGGGGCCGGCTAGGGGGATTCGGTAGCAGTGTTGATGTTTTCACCGCTACCTGCCCCTCCTCTTCTCCGCCGCCGCATTTTTCTGCACACAAGCCTCCCGACGAGAGGTCGGAGGGAGGGCTAGGCCATTTTACCTGCCACCAGCGGGGGCCAGAGCCGCGCGTGGTGAAAAAGATCATCACATCGACAAGCCGAAAACAGTCGAAAGCGTTTTTGATAAACACTTTTGGTACACAGGTGACATGCAATGTTTCACGGAAAGGGCTCTGGCCGAGGGTTTTGTTTTAGAGGTTAACCCCCCGGCTCCGCTTTCAGATGGTCCGGCGGAGTTTTTCTCGATAGATATCGAGGTCACGTAGGGCCAGCGGATTGCAAAGATGAGGATGTCCGTTGCGAAACGTTTGTTTTTTTATATGCATGTGTTTGGGATGTTTTAGGCGAAACGCTGGTTTTGCAGAGTTGGGGGACGTCTCGTGTGGGGTTCTCGCGGGGTGCCGGGATTAGGAGAAATTCACGTATTCCAGTGCCCTGGTCGTCCACAGGTGTCCAACATGGTTGTCCTTAGTTGGAACCGCATGTTTGCACGTGTGCAGGCCACCCACAGGAGTACTCGCCCCGAGCTTGAACTATGTGTTTTTACGTGTTCAGGCCGCCCAGGGGGGTATCTAACATGGTGAGCGGCAGGACAAAGTCGTGGATTCCGAGGTTCGGCGCAGATGGAAACGAAGAAGGCACACAAGCACCACCACCGTGTTCGGGCAGTACCATCGTGGGCCCTGGCATGGTACGCCCTCCTAGCGGCGGCAAGGAGGGTCTTTGCACCATCCCTTGGGCCCAGGATGGCCCTGGCCTGCCATGGTGGTGGTGGTGTAGCTCTGCGTGCAGGCGGCGCAGGACCACGCGCGCACACGGGCACCTCGCAGCACACAACTCCCGCGGCGAGGCGTGGCTGCGACGCGACGGCGCGCGCGCGATGGCCGAGCCTGGAGGCGGACCCCAACGCGCAGCTGGCGGAGCTGGTCGCGTGCTCGAAGCGGCAGGAGCCTCTCTTCGCCCTCTTCGTCCTGCTCGTCCCCCTCGCCCTCGTCCTCTTCCTCCTCGTCCTCCTCGCCCTATCTCGTCCCCCTCGCCCTCCTCGTTCTCGTCGCCCCCGTCTCACTCACCCCCCTTGTCGACGCCCCCTCCCTCGCGGCCGGCCCTCGGCGCCACCCTCCAGCGCCCCTCGCGCCGGCGGGCCTCCGGCGCCCTGCGGGTTACTCCTACAACTGGCGGCGCCGCGCCCCGCGCATGACGCCCGGCACGCCTCGTGCGGCAGAGGGGCCCTGGCCTCCCAGATGGTCAGCATTTTTTCACCGATCCCTAGATCCCCATCCCCACCCACATCTCGAGCCCCACCGTCCCACCACCTCAGTTGGGGATATGCCCCTCGAAGCCCGAAGAGAGCAGCCTATGTCCCCATCCAGGGGGGTAGATCGGCCAGTGGTGCTCAGCCCACGCTGGTGGGGATGGGGATCTGTTAAGCGATGCCCAGATGGGGTCCGAGCAGGCTCGAGGTGCCTAGTTTTTGGACGCACCCGGGGTGCAGGGCTTTCGGGCTTTCTCGGGCGTTTTCGGAGCTCGGGTTTGTCGTTCGATTTCGTTGGTTCTCGGTGGGTTTCCAGCCTCGGGATGCTTTCCAGTGACTGCGTCTCGCCGAGGGCGTTCCGAGGCCGCCCAGATCGTCCCGAACGGCCGCCCGAGGCCCGAGTGGAGGTCTTTGGCAGTTTTCAGCCTCCAGGGGCCCTCGACGGGCAATGGGGTGGTCGAACAAATACTCAAACACGACGTCGGATGCTTGGGAACGTGGGCTCCATTTCCTGCCTTTTGGGGGATTGCGCAACTTGAAGGTGACTTGAGCCTGCGATGAAAGCGTACTTACAACTTCCGTGCATGTGGCTCTCAGGGCGAACCCATGGTTGCCCACAGTTTCCAGCGCCCCCTATCACTTGTCATTACATCCCATAACGACTGGCAAATCTGGCCACAGTACCTGTGCAACAGCACAGCCGGAAGGAGATTGAGTGTAGGAGCAGCGCAATTCCGACGACTGGTGTGAATCAAGACGGGAAGTGAATTCGACCTCATTTTCTTCGTCCGCGCTTTGCGAGGAAGGTTGAGTACAGGCCCAGCTGCAGTGCAGCGAGCGGTCTGACTTGAGACGGGTCGTGAAATCGATATCATCTTCGTCCGCGCGGTAGGGATGATGATGAGGAGGAGGAGGAGGAGGAGGAGGACCGGTTCAAACCCAAGGCGCATCAACGACGTTGCAATACATTTTCTTTTCAAACTTCCCACATAGGGCCCTACTAGAGTTTAGCTTCACTGCTGGGACTGCTCCGTTGGCAGACAATCGTCTGAGAATCTCTAATCGTGCCGAAGAACTACTCCTTGGACTTCACCGCCGCGGTTCAACTTTACTGTTGCGCCTTGACGATCTTGCGTCGTCGGGCCAGGGCCAGTCATACGGCTCCGTCAAAGTGGTCTAAACTTTTCAGACGACTGTGCGAGGAGCTCAGGCGAGAAACATATTTTGCAAAAGCCGCCCTCCATCCGGGACGCTCTTGCAGATGCAGATTTTTAAGACGAATGTGCGCTGCGCTAAGGCCAGAACCACATTTCGAAACTACCCGCCCTTCATCCGTGAAACTCGCGAACTTTTAAAGCGGATGTGCGCGGTGCTGGGGCCCTCCATCCGGGAAGCTCCTGCAATTTTTTAATGCGACCGTGCGCGGCGCCAAGGCCAGAACCGCATTTTAAGAATGGCCCGCCTTTCATCCGTGAAATTCGCGAGCGTCTCAAGCGAATGTGCGCAGTGCTGGAGCGAGAGCCACATTGTGAAGAGGACCCGCCCTCCATCCGTGAAGCTCTTGCGAACTTTGAAGGCGAGTGTGCGCGGTGCTGGGGCGAGGGCCACATTTCGAAAAGGATCCGCCCTTCATCCGTGAAGCTCTTGCAAACTGTTGAAGCGAATGTGCGCGGTGTTGAGGCGAGATCAACATTTTGAAGAGGATCCGCCCTCCATCTGGGAAGCTTCTGCAAAAATGTAGGACGGATGTGCGCGGTGCTGGGGCGAGATCCACATTTTGAAACCCGCCCTCCATCGGTGAATCTCTCGCAGATTGTGAAAGCGAATGTGCGCGGCGCTGGGGCGAAACCCACATTTTGAAAAGGGACCGCCCTCCATCCGCGAAATTCTTGCACATTATACGCTCCAGAACCATGAGTGGTGAGGACGTCTCAGGCGAAACTCCTGGCCCGCCCTACGGACACGTCTCGGGGTGCGACGGGGAGGGATTGTTGATCAGGAGCTGGACCTTGACGGGGTCGAACGTGTGCGTGGCAGTGGGAGGCAGCCGAAAGCTGCCAAACTTGATAACGCCTGGACTCCGTGCCAAACTGTTTGGCGCTGCCAGACTTGCCTCACATCCAGTAGGACCGGAGGGAAAAGAAGCCTCAGCTTTCAGCCTGTTCGGAAGACGTCCTCGAGATAGCCAAAGAGAATTGTAAGCACACGCATGCCTTCCAAGTTTAAACTCGCACGGACACCACTCTTTTGTATACTTGTTCAATGTACAATACTTACACTTTCGCAGAGTAAGTGCGGAACCTCAAAGTGGCGGGAAGTTTGCCTCGAGAATCGCTTGTCCTGCTTGGAAGCGGATTTGCTCGGGAAAGCATCCTAAGCTGGCTGGTGTCCGAACCGATATTTTTCCTTTCGCTGCAGATGACAGCGCGGATGCGGCTAAGTTTTCACGGCCCTCCTCTTGCGCCCAGCCTGCCACTGAGTTGCTCAGCCCGGTGGAGCAGCTTCGCGACATCGAAGCCAATCTCAGGGAGGAGGAGGAGGAGGAGAAGGAGGAGAAGGATGGGCAGAGTGCGAGAATTCAGAATATGGCCCTTTCTTATGTTTCAGATGACTCGTCACTAGCCCCAACTGCGGCCAGTGAGAGCGTATATCACCTTCTGGTTGTTGGGATAATTTGTCAAACAAGGTAACCTTAGCGCGGGAATGACTTGCTGTGTCCTGTTGCTGCAGGAACCACGCTGGTGAAAACACAAGAGGCTCTTTGGGGGCGTCTTTGGGCGCCTCTTGGGGAATCTTGGGCCGTCTTAGGGCGCTCTCGGCCAGTCTGACGCCCCCAGAGGCCGTCTTTGGGGCCTATCTGGGCCGTCTTGGTGCCCTCTTGGGGCGCTTTAGGGCCGTCTTGTGGTGGCAGCAACTAAACCCGGCCAGGAAAAGCCCGGCTGGTTGGGCTCTGCCCATTGAATTCGGCCACTCTGAACTCGGCCCGCTGAACTCCGCCAATTTTGAACTCGGCCCAAGGAAATCTCGGCCAGATGAACTCGTCCCAGCTGAACGCGGCCAGGTAGACAAGGTGACAAGTAAACTGCCCTTTTTAGTCGGCCGGCGTTCTGGCTGCAGCGTGAGCACATGATGATTTCGACCAGAAAGAGTTCGGCCAGAGAAGCGCTTACGGATCAATGCGGTCCAGGAAAAATCTGGCCGGAAAAATTCGGCCACTGAGCTCGGCCTGGGAAAAATTCGGCCACACTTGGCATCGTGGGCATCTTGGCGGCCACGGAGGGGTAATTCTGAGGCTAGGAGGGCCCTGGAGGTGCGTTGGGGATTTGGGCACCCCTACTCTCCTCGTCGCCCTTGTGCCACTGGATGTTGCACTCAAGTGGAGGGGGAACGGGGGAGGAGGGACAGGCAATCATTACGCACGCCTTTTCACCCTCAGCGTTGGTTGAAGAGGCGCGATCGTGTCTCCAGAAAGCGTCGGCCGAGGAGGGGGGGCAGGGACGTTGCCTTGGGGGATCGCGGGGGCGTGGAAGGATGAGAAGGCATTGGAGGGGAGGAGGAGGAGGAGGGTTTTTGTGACATCAGAGTTGTTTCTAGTCGCGCCATTGTTTTGCCTGCGCTAGCCCAGCTTACTCTTTGTTTTAAGCGTGTCTTGTTTTAGGGGGAGACGGTTTCTTTAGGACAATCCATGTTCCTTGCCAGAGAACGTCGAGTAATGACGAACATCCTTGCCCTCAGGTAACCATCTCCAAGGAAACAAAGAGTGATAAGGGTGAGAAAGGATGCGGTGCATCTGCGATGCATCGAACCTGGGCAACAGTTTGAGTGACAACATCACTTCCTGTAGTCTCGCAATTTTTGTGTCTGCACTGGCCAAGCTTACTCTTTGTTCCTTCATCCGGAAATGTATAGTCGCCCATTATTTGATCATTGTGTTGTTTTGCTCCTTCGTTTATTCTGCTGGTCTTACGTTCCTCTGCTCTTCTCCTCTCGGCTAGTTACGCTCTTGACGTTTTTCCTACACGCAGCAATGCTGAAATCCAGTCCGCTCGGAAGATGTTAGTTGCGCTTCGGTTTACTGGTGCAGGCTGCGCTTGTTTGAACAGGGGCTCGCCTGCCTGATGTGCCTCGCGCGGGCTCGCCTCGTAGGGGCCGAGCGCGCGAAACGCTCGCTGTGGTTCCGAAGACGATGCTGGATAAACTCGGCCTGGCGAAAATCGGCCGGCCGAACTCGGCCCGATCGATTCGGCCAGACAAATTCGGTTGGGGAAAAAGTTTGTCGGACAAATTCGGACCAGGACATTTTCGGTTGGACAAATTCGGCCAGGGTGGGCCAAGTTGAACTCGGCCCGCGCTGAACTCGGCCCGCCAAAATGAGGCCGGCGCTCCGGTTGCTGCGGAAGTTCGCTCGAAAGTCGGTTGGACGATCTCGCTTTTGGTAATATCTGTGGGAAAAAATCGTCCCGAAAAATTCGGCTGGCGACGCTCTTTGGAGGCTCATGTGCTTTCTTGGAGCAATTTTGGAGGACTCTTGGGCCATCTTGGGCGGTTGGAAGCCCAAATAGGTGACAACCTCAAACCATTCAAAACATCAAGGAACATCATTGTCCTCGGTCTCTCCTGGAGGGCCTCTTGGAGCCGTCTTGGGCCGTCTTGAGCCATCTTGGGCCGTCTTGGGGTCGTCTTGGCTGCCTTAAGAAGTTTTGAGATCCACCTCTGGGAGGCGGAAAAGAGCGCCAGAAAGCAAATTCAGGGGGGGGAATTTTCTCACGATGCGTGCTGACGGGCCCTAGGAAACACAAAGAACGCCTTGCAGATAACAGCCGAGCATTCTCACATGCCCACTCCGTGCGGGCACGGTGGCAGCTTACACAATTTGTCTTCACTCATCATCGTGCTCAGCAACAGTGCTCATGCAGCAGAACATCACTTGGGATACTACACCTGGTCAGTTGTTCAGTCATGTGGGCTCAGACCACTTGGTGCCTCTCGTTCCCGTGCCCAGCGAGCGAGCGCCCCACGTTCCGAAAACAACTCATTCCGAGTGTGCCATGCGGTCTGGCAGCTCAATCTAAATATCAATATCAGTTCGGTGAACATATGGACGCCAAGGATAGCGGGATCCATACAGAGACAACACCACAGTTCAGTACAGCACGGCATGGTTAAACGCAGCACAGCCCCTGGAACGTTACCATCACCATGTATAACCTCAGCATTGCCATATGCACAACTTGGGTCAGTTCTATATCCGTAAGGACTTCGCTCTCTGCCGCCTGCTTCCTCGTTTGAAAAGGGGAGGTGTCAGAGCTGTGCTGGGACGACGGCGCTGTTTTGGATGTTTCTGGGGGCATACATCATGCACCCTGAGATATTGAAGTTGTAGTTGAACACCATGGTTCCTTCTCAGAGCGCGAACCTGGAGCGTGGGCGTGGGCTTGTGCCTGCGCCTGGGTCTGGGCGCGGGGGTGGGCGCGGGCATGGGCGTAGGCGTGAACGTGGGCGTGGGCCTAGCGTGGGCGTGGGCGTTGGCCTGGGCCTGGGCCTGGGCCTGGGCCTGGGGCTGGGCTGGGTGTGGGCGTGGGCGCGGGCGTTGGCGTGGGCGCGGGCGTGGGGCGTGGGCGTGGGTGTGGGCGTGGGCGTGGGCGTCGGCGTCGGCGTCGGCGTGGGCGTGGGCGTGGGCGCGGGCGTGGGCGTGGGCGTGGGCGTGGGCGTGAGTGTGGGCGCGGGCGTGGGCGCGGATGTGGGCGTTGGCGTGGGCGTGTGAGCGTTGGCGTGGGCGTGGGCGTGGGCGCGGGGGGGCGTGGGCGTGTGGGCGTGGGTGTGCGTGTGAGCATTGGCGTGGGCGTCAGTGGGCGTGGGCCTAGGCCTTGGCCTGGGCCTGGGTGTGGGCGTGGGCGTGGGTGTGGGAGTGGGCGTGGGCGTGGGTGTGGGTGTGGGTGTGGGCTTGGGCGCTGGTGTGGGCGTGGGCCTGGGCCTGGGTGTGGGCGTGGGCGCGGGTGTGGGCGTGGGCGTGGGTGTGGGCGTGGGCCTGTCGTTGGCGCAGGAGTGGGCGTGGGCGTAGGCGTTGGCGCGGGCGTTGGCGTGGGCGTGAGCGTGGGCGCGGGCGTGGGCGTGAGCGTGGGCGTGGGCGTGCGCGTGGGCGAGGGTGTGGGCGTGGGCGTGGGTGTGGGCGTGGTTGTGGGCGTGGGCGTGGGCGCGGGCGTGGGCGTGTGGGCCTGGGTGTGGGCGTGGGCGCGGGCGTGGGCGTGAGCGTGGGCGTGGGCGTGGGCGTGGGTGTGGGCGTGGGCGTTGGCGTGGGCGTGGGCGCGGGCGTTTGCCTGGGCCTGGGTGTGGGCGTCGGCGTGGGCGTGGGCGTGGGCGTGGGCGTGGGCGTGGGCGTGGGCGTGCGTGTGGTCGTGGGTGTGGGCGTGGGCGTGGGCGCGGGCGTGGTCGCGGGCGTGGGCGTGGGCGTGGGTGTGGGCGCGGGTGTGGGCGTAGGTGTGCGTGTGAGCATTGGCGTCGGCGTGGGCGCGGGCCTTGGCCTTGCGTGTGTGGGCGTGGGTGTAGGCGTGGGCGTGGGCGCGGGCGTGGGCGTGTGGGCCTGGGTGTGGGCGTGGGCGCGGGCGTGGGCGTGAGCGTTGGGCGTGTGTGTGGGCGTGGGTGTGGGCGTGGGCGTTGGCGTGGGCGTGGGCGCGGGCGTTTGCCTGGGCCTGGGTGTGGGCGTTGGCGTGGGCGTGGGCGTGGGCGTGGGCGTGGGCGTGGGCGTGGGCGTGTGTGGTCGCGGTGGGCGTGTGGGCCTGGGTGTGGGCGTGGGCGCGGGCGTGGGCGTGAGCGTTGGCGTGTGGCGTGGGCGTGGGTGTGGGCGTGGGCGTTGGCGTGGGCGTGGGCGCGGGCGTGTGCCTGGGCCTGGGTGTGGGCGTTGGCGTGGGCGTGGGCGTGGGCGTGGGCGTGGGCGTGGGTGTGCGTGTGGTCGTGGGTGTGGGCGTGGGCGTGGGCGCGGGCGTGTTCGCGGGCGTGGGCGTGGGCGTGGGTGTGGGCGCGGGTGTGGGCGTAGGTGTGCGTGTGAGCATTGGCGTCGGCGTGGGCGCGGGCCTTGGCCTTGCGTGTGTGGGCGTGGGCGTGGGCGTGGGTGTGTGTGTGTGTGTGTGGGCTTTGGCGCCGGTGTGGGCGTGGGCCTGGGCCTGGGCGTTGGCGCGGGAGCGGGCGTCGACGTGGGCGTGGGCGTTGGCGTGGGCGTGGGCGTGCGTGGGCGTCCACGTGGGCGTGGGCGTGGGCGTCGACGTGGGCCCAGGTGTGTAAGCGCTGGTGTTGGCGTGGGCGTGCGCGTTGGCGTGGCGTAGGCGCGGGCGTGGGCGCGGGCGTGGGCGTGGGCGTGGGCGTGGGCGTGGGCGTGGGCGTCGGTGTGGGGTGTGGGCGTTGGCGTGGGCGTCGGCGCTGCCAGCCGCCGCCGCCGCCGCCGGTGCTGGCGCGCCAGGTCTGGCGGCGCCCGGGGGGGGTTCGGGGAGGGGGGGGGGGAGGTGAGTCCTTTTGGTTCTTTGCGACGGCGCCGGATGTTGGGGGGGACCCCCCACGGTTTAAACGCGCCGCCGACGGTTCCCAAGGCAAGTGCCCGTGACACGCGCTCCCTCTGATTTCGGGAGCGCTTTTTTGGGTGTGATTTATAAAGGAATTTGGTTTTGGGAGTACGATTCCGGTATAATGGTCGAAAGAGCTGGGCTTCGGGAGCACGAATCTGGAGAAGTTCATGCAGGTTTCTGGCCTCGGGAGCGCTGCTCTGGCGTAAGTTACACAAAGGATCATTTCCTCGGGGGCGTGCATCTATAGCAAATTGCAAAGGATTGGTTTGGGGACGCACGTTTCCGAGGGCCCACATATAATTTGGAGGACGCGTCTCGGGCGTTGTGGCCATAATGGTTTTCGGTTTCCCTCCTCGCGCAGTCAGCAGCAATTTACAATCGGAAGCAGAGAGTACCTCCGTAACATTGTAAGCTGAAAGCTGGTAATGGCGGAGGAAGCATGACATCTCCGCCACTCAGTCTGGTGGCCCCACAAGGGGGCCGGCAGATCCCTTTACGGATTCGTGGATCGATCGAGGGTCGATCGAATGTTCGCATGTGCACCTTTGCCTTTTTGCAACCATTTGGGAGTCGACTGTGGTTGCTCGGGACATGGTCGTCGGTGTTTATGGCTTGTCGTCCTTGGCCCATGGCAAGCTACGCATGCCCATTTCGTAGCTTCTCGATCCCGTGTTCTCTCCCGCTTATCCTCCTCGCTCCCCCACTATCGTCGTTCTCCTTCCTTCGCGCGCGCGTACACAGGCGAAAACAGGCGCGCGCGTGCGCGCGCGTGCTGAGCCCAAGGGGCGTCCGGCACGAACAATCCGCGGCTCTCTTTCATACGTGCAGCATCCCCTTGAGTTATGTCCGATAGTTGGAAGATGGGAATGCGTAGCGTCGACTTGATACCCATCGGGGGGGCATGTCCCAGAGAGGCTGGAAAGGCGTACCCCGACGTGCCACCGTGGGGTATGAATTTTCCAGCCACCCTGGGGGCCAGGCGTCCCCGACGACGAAATTGTTTGCCTAACTGCCCTTCGCCCGATAAGAACGGGGGAGGGGCAGAGGAAGGTTGGCGGCGTTCACAAGGGAGGGGGACCCCATTCTACGACGGCGGGGGGAGTTCTGAGAAGGCATGTGGGCGTCTTAGGTGTCCTCTCGGGGTGTGTGTGGATCTTTCTTAGAAGCCTCGCCCTTCTAAGAAAGCCCCTGCCTTCTAAGAAGCTTTCCGCCTTCTCAGAAAGGCGCCCCCCTCGCGCTACGTCTTTGTCCGCACCACCAAGGAAGGGTGGGTGGACGGTGGGATGGAGGAGCGGCGAACGTGAGGAGGGAAGGTGGGAAGAGGGAGGATGAGGGCTTCCTTACCAGTGCACGTTTTTACCCGATTCGATGTTCCGATTCGATGTTGATTGATACTGCACCTCCTGCCACGGACAGGAGCAGTTGCTCGGCAAGGTCTGCAGCCTGCTGGTGAGCCTGGACGAGAAGATGGGACGAATGGTGAGCGCACAGGACCTTCTGGGGCAGGTGGAGGAGCTGGAGGTCTGGGGGGTCTGAAAAGTATTAATTGAGGCAGCCAGAACGGCAGATGTTAGGGTCGCCCGCGAAATGTGGGGCGCCCGCGTGGGCGCGAAGACAACCGCGCCCCTCGCAGCGCAGCCCTGCTTGGGATAGTTACCCTTCTGCTGCAGGGGATTGCTCGGCGGCTCGAAGGTAATCGCGCATCGCGGGAAACGATGCGCGAAGTTGGGTGACCTAGCTAGTCAATCCACGTCAAATATGAATTTGCAGGAGAGCGTTGGCATAGACATTTCCTTTTGGAGGTCCGCGTGGATTCCTTGGCTCGGCGCTGGACCCAACTGGCGGCGCCTCTGGTTCGGCTTTTGGTGCGCTCCGCGCGGTAGGAAAGGGGGTCTAGCGTCGATCCAAGAAATCTATGCGGACCCACGACAGTTCATCTTTATGCCGGTTCATTTTCTAAAGAGCTTCGCCCTCTGCCGTCGGCACTTTTGAGATTGCTTGCATGGTCACTCTTGATCGGTTGGTTTGTTCGGTTTCATGTCGATTGGCCCGCTAGCAATTGCGTTGGTTGGTTTGTAATCGAAATCGTTTGTTCGCAATTCGGTTGTAATTAACTAGAATGTCGGCCTGGGGAGCGCGCACCCGTCGTATTTCGTCACGCTTCGCGTATCGCCACCAGCGACTCCTCGCTGGTTTACGCTTGCCGTGGCTTTAATTGGTCTTTGCATGTGCACTCCGCGCGTCCTCGCGCTAATTATCTTGCGCTGTGCCCCAGCCTCGGTACTCACGCCCTCTGGACTTTTCTTTGCGGGCCGCTACTCAAAAACAAGTATCGCCACCAGCTTGCCTGTTGCCGCCAGACCGTCGTCGCGCGGCCGCCGACCAAAAAAGTATCGCCACCAGCTCATTGAGACATGAGAGTTGACGGGTAACGAGAAGAAGCGACGCATATAGTGAAACGAGTCGGGCAAGGAGAGGAAGGGGAGGAGGGTCCTGAGCCATCTTGGAGGCTGGTTTGGAGCATCGGAGGCCGTCTTGGAGCCATCATGAGCGAGAAAGGACGTTCTGACACCCTTGGACGAGGAGGAGGAGGAGGAGGAGGAGGAGGAGGAGGAGGAGGAGGACGACGACGACGAGGGCAAGAACGAGATCATGGACGGGGACGAGGAGGAGGAGGAAGAGGATGACGACGAGGAAGATGACGACGAAGACGAAAACGAGGACGAGGACCAGGAAAACGAGGACGACGATGAGGACGACGAAATTGAGGAGGAGGACAACAACTCGTTGAGCCATCTTGGGGTCTTCTTCGGATCCTCTTGGGGTTTGCTTTAGGGGCCCTGTAAGGCCTCTTGGGGCCATCTTGTAGGGCGTCGATCGAAGAAGGGGCGGTCCCGATTTGCCTGCCCCCTTCTGGGGCCCTCAAAGTCGCCTCTTGATACGTAAACCTTTGCAGCTCCGCGCGGATTTCTTGAATCGGCGTTGGGGACCCCCTCGAGGCACCTCCGACACCGCCCCTGGCGCGATCCAACAAATCTGCGCAGACCGTCGAGAGTTACGTTTAGTCAGTTTTCTTTCTTTTCACGAGGCCTCCCTGGCAAGATGTCCCCAGGAATTCCTGGGAAGCACGCAGGGCATCCAGAGCAGCCCTCACTACTCCCAGAGGGCCCTAGAGCCCTAGAGCTCAGAGGGGGCTCCAGAAAGGCGCGAAAAGCTGGGGCACCTTTGGCCAGGAACACCTCTGGCACCCCCCTGAGCTTGTCGGAAGAGAGGACGGGGAGGGGTGCCCTGCGTGTCCGGGCCTCCCTCGCCAGGAGGGCGTCGAGGCAGCCATGCAGCGCATGGCCGATCAGGGCGGCGTCGCCGGCGGCGGCGCGGCCGCCTCCCACCCTGGCGGCCCCCTCCCGCCACCGCCAAGCATGTCCAGTCGAGCAGGAGCCTCGGGGGGAGCCGGAGTACAGCATGTCCAGTCGAGCATGTCCAGTCGAGCAGGAGTCCACCGCCTCGGCGGCGCAAACGAGAGGTGGCGCGCGGAGGGCGGCCTTCTAAGAAGGCGCGGGGGAGGGGGGCCAGTACGAGGCCCCGAGGGCGTTTCCGAAGCCCCCATGGCGCTCGAGAAGCCTGCTGAAGTGGGGGGTTCCCCAGTGGAGGGTGAGGGGGGGAGGGGGGGGAATAAATGGGGTGGTGCAGAAGCGTGCACCTTCTGTGCGCCGTATGAGCCCTAAAAGGGCCCCCAGGGGCCCACAAGGGCCCCCCCTGGGGGCGGGGCACGTGAAGTGCACGCCACCCCCCCCGCCCCAGATTATCGCCCCACCCATGTTGCCCTGGGCTCTTCTCAGAAGGCCCCCGTCCTCTCTCAGAAGCCCCCCGCCTGCTGAGACGGCCGATCCCCTCGCGCTATCCCCTCTTCGCGCGGGCCGTCCAGGACCGTCGGTTCCAGGCCGTTGTCCCTCCCGGCCCCCCCTATGCCTTCTTCCTGTTCCCGGAAAGGGCTGGGGCCCAGGGTTCTCTTTCAGTTTTGTTGCGCACAGTTTCTAGATACACCTGTGAAGGATATCTCAGGCGAACTGCTGGTTCTACAGAGTTGGGGGATGTCTCGAGCGGGGGCCGCGTCGGGAACCACAACTCAGAAGATGTCTCAGGCGAAATGATTGTTCCAAAGGCGGGTATCTAAGATGGTTGCAGTTTGCCCTTCGCTGGAACAGCATGTTTTCATATGTCCAGGCCACCCAGAGGGGTATCTAAAATGGAGCCCCCTCGCTGGAAACACGTGTTTTACGTACCCAGGCCACCCAGAGGGTATCGAATATGGATTCCATGAGTTGAAGCCATGTGCTTTCACGTTTGCTCCGCTCTGGGGCGAAAGGGACCCACGTGTTTTCACGCTTATTCCGCTCAGGGGCGAAAAGGACCCACGTGCTTTCACGATTGTTCCGCTTTGGGGCGAAAGGGACCCACGTGTTTTAGTTTTTTTTCTTCCGCTCTGGCGCGAAAGGGGCCCACGAGTTTTCACGCTTGTTCCGCTCTGGGGCGTAAGGGACCCACGTAATTATGTCCACGCTTGGTCCGCTTTGGAGAGAAAAGGGACCCACCTGTTTTCACGCTTGTTCCGCTCTGGCGCGGCCCCGTTTGTTCCGCTTTGGCGTGAAAGATACCCATGTGTTTTCACGCTTCTTCCGCTTAGGGGCGAAAGGGACCCATGTGTTTTCATGATTGTTCCGCTCTGGTGCGACAGGGACCCACATGTTTGAAAGAGCGTGTTCTACCGCTGCTGGCGGAAAACCGGGGGGGTCACTACCGGTTCGAACCCCTCCCCCCCCCCCTCCAGGAAACCGGGTCATTACCGGTTCGAACCCCTCCCCCCCCCCAGCTCATCATGAAAAGGGGGGGGTCACTACCGGTTCGAACCCCCCCCCCTCGATCTCGAAGACCGGGGGGGGTCACTACCGGTTCGAACCCCCCCCCGCCCCTCGAAAACCGAGGGGGGGTGCGGACAGTGGTGGGGACGGTGGTGGTGGGGACAGTGGTGAGGGGACAGCGGGACAGTGGTGGGGACAGTGGGACAGTGGTGGGGACGGTAGTGGTGGGGACAATGGTGAGGACAACGGTGGGGACAGTGGGGACAGTGGGACAGTGGTGGGGACGGTGGTGGTGGGGACAGTGGTGTGGGGAAAGTGGGAATGTGGTGGAAACAGTAGGACAGTGGAGGGTACAGTGGTGGTGGGGACAGTGGTGAAGGCGGTGGCGAGGACGGCGGTGGGACAATGGGACAGAGGTACAGTGGGGACAGTGGTAGGGACAGGGGGGACAGTGGTGGGAACAGTGGGACAGCTCAGTGGTTCGAACCGGTAGTGACCCCCCCCTCCGGTTTTCGAGGGGGGGGGGGGTTCGAACCGGTAGTGACCCCCCCCGGTTTTCGAGTTCGAGGGGGGGGGGGGGTTAGGGGAGGGGGGGGGTTTTGCCGGGGGAAGGGGGGGGGGGGAGGGGTTCCAGCAGGGGGGGGGGGGGGAATTTCGGAGGGGGGGGGGGACCCCCGGGTTCTGGAGGAAAAGGGCGGCAATTTTCCACAGTAAAGCGGCGGTGGATCACGCTCTCTCACATGTTTTCACGCCTGTTCCGCTCTGGGGCGAAGGGACCCACGTGTTTTGGCGTTTCTTCCGCTCTAGCTCGAAAGGGACCCACGTGCTTTCACACGCTTGTTTCGCTCTGGGGCAAAAAGGGCCCATGTGATTTCACGCACGTTCCACTCTGGGGCGAAAGGGACCCACGTGTTTTCACGCTTGTTTCGCTCTTGGGCGAAAGGGACCCGAGTGTTTTCACCCTTGTTCCGCTATGGCTCGAAAAAGGACCCACGTGTTTTCACGCTTGTTCCTCTAACGGGGCTCGCGTGCTTTCACGTGTCCCGGCCGCCCAAGGGGGGATGTCTAACATGTGGTCGCTTGGCCCTCAAGAGTCGGGGGGGGGGCCGCAAGAGCAAGGGAAACATCACGAATCGGCACCACATGTGTGATAAATTTGGCACGTTCCGTCCCGGGGCCTTGGGAAAGCCTCGTGATGCTTTTTGGGGAGGCCCCCTGCGGCGAAAGGGACCCACGAGTCTTCACGTTTGTTCCGTGTTGGGGCGAAAGGGAACCACCTGTTTCCACGCTTGTTCTTATCTGCGCGAACGGGACCCAAGTGTTTTTACGCTTGTTCCGTTCCTGGGGCGAAAGGGCCCACGTGTTGTCACCTTTGTTTCAGTCTGAGGCGAAAATAGACTCACGTGTTTTTTCCGCTCTGGCGCGAAAGGGGGCCCAAGTGTTCTCACGCTTGCTCCGCTCTAGGACGAAAGGGATCCACGTGTTTCCACGTTTGTTTCCCCCGCCCTGGGGCGCAAGTGACCCACGTGTTTTCACGCAGGCTCCTCTGTGGGTCGAAGCAAACGGGGCCCACGTGTTTTCACGTTTGTTTCATTTCGCCCAGGCTGAACTCTAACACGAGGATGTGTTGAGGATGTCTCGATCGAAACTTTGGCTTTCACGTGTCCAGGTCGCCCTCGCGATTCAGGAACATGAGAATGTGTGGGGGATGTCTAGAGCGACGCGCTCATTCTACAGGATTAGCTGAGGATGTTTCGAGCGAGGGCTTCGCCTGCAGCGAAAGCCTCCCCCTGCAGGATGTGTTGTATTGTTTGAGGTGTTGTCGTGCGGGGGCCTTGTCGTCGTCTGGGTGCGTTTCGTTTCGGTCCGGCTTTGCCCCCCCGATCGTTTCTTCCCACTTAGGACCTGGAACAGATCTTGAGTTCGAGCTGGTTCAGCGCCCCGCATGTTAGGACTGCAGCCAGCTTTGGGCGAACAATGCGCCTAGGGAGCGTGAGCTTAAGACCCTGATCAGTTCGGACAGGATTGGGGTGCTAAGGATGGTTTGATCCACGACGCAACAGAGAACAGCGCATGACGCCGCACAGTGAAGCACAGCACGTGTCAATCACAATTTCCGCCGAATCGCGGCCCTGGTTATTTGCGAGGGGCCCTGGCACCTCTGAATGCGGCTCCCTCATCAGGCGACGACATGCAGTTTCAGGATGGTGAGCCAGGGCGTATATATATATATATATATATATATATATTCGGATTGGTTTGTCTAGTCTCGCTTCGATTCGGGTCGGTTCGGTTTTCGTTTCAGTTCGTATCGTTTCGGTTCGCCTTGATGCAGTGTGTGGCGTTTTAGTTCGCCGAGCTTTGGTCCGTCCACTCTCGGTGCATTTCGCGTCGGCTCGGAGTCGCCCCCTCTTGGTTTGTCCCGTGACGGAATATAATCAGATCTCAATCTCGAGTTGGTCGAGCGCCCTGCGCGGTTCGACTGCGACCCGCTCGAGGTATGCGTCTGGGCAGCTCGAGCTTAAGATCCAGATTAGTCCGGTCAGGGTTCGAATGCCAAGAACGACGTGGTCCACATCGCAATAGAGCACAGTATTGTTCAACGCGGCATGGCAAACTTCAGGTCATCACAGCACAGCACAACACAGCCCCTGGCACTGTACATCACCAGCGTTACCGTGAGCATTGCAATTGTTTAGCGTCGCCATTTCTATATCCTTTTCTATATCCTTTTCCGGATTCGTGGGTCGATCATGTTTTTCCAGAAAAGGTTCGGGTCCAGAGTTTTTGTTCGTGTAGGTCAGTTTGTTCCCGTTGCCCAATTCGAAGAGGGCCGGCGGATCAAATGTTGAGGACGTCCCGACCGAATCGTTGTTTGTTATTCAGAGCGAAAAACAGGTAAAGTACACACTTGCGTTTGTTGAGGATGTCTCTTGCGAAACGCTTGTTTTGCAGAGTTGGTTGAGGATGTCTCTAGCGAAAGGCTTGTCTTGTTCCCAACCATCCTGTGGTGTTGGGTCCTGGTTTCGAAGATACAGCGCCCCGCGTTCTCCTCCGCCTCCACCCTCCTCCCATCCCTGCCGCTGTTGTCTGCACCAGTCAACCATGTCGGCACACCCGTCAGACGTTTCGTGGCCCCATGCCGAGCTCCACCGAGGGCGCCCCAATGGCAGCGCTCGCATGGCACCACCGCGCCCATGTCGGCAGACCTCTCACACGTTCCGTGGCCCCATAGGGAGTTCCATCGCGGGCCCAGGAGCTGCTCTCGCATGGCACCACCACGCCCATTTCGGCACACCCCTCCACACGGTTCGTGGCCCCACAGGGAGCTCCACAGAAGGCCCCAGTGGCTGCGCTCGCATGGCACTACCGCACCCATGTTGGCACACCTCTCACACGCTTCGTGGCTTCATATGGAGCTCCGCCGAAGGCCCCAGTGGCTGCGCCCGCATGGCACCACCGCGCCCATGTCGTCACACAGTCACACGCTTCGGGGCCATAGGGAGCTCCACCGAAGGCAGCTGCGTTCTCACG